TATTTTCCATAAAATTTCAAAGAAACTACACATTCTAATGTACTTCTCTTATAATTTCCATTTACTTTACGTCTAAACGAACTAAAATAAATACCGTTACATACTAATATTTTCTCTCAGCAACCTTATGATCCTGCAAGGGTTAAATAATCGACGACGAGACATTACAATTTTATTCCAACTTTAAAGAACAATTGTATTCCAACTTTCTAAACAAACTATATTATTCTATATTATAATTCTATATTACATCTATCTATTTATCTATCTATATTATTATATATATATATATATATATATCTAAACAAACTGTTTATAAAAACAGTTGCATACTAATATTCACTCTTAGCAATGATGACTTTTATTTATTTTATTTTATATTATTATGGTTATATTATCATGGTCCTGCAAGGGTTAAATAATCGACGACGTGAGATTACAATCGCATTCCAACTTCAAAGAAAAAATAACATCTATGCTCGATAAATTGTTACTAGAAATTTTTAACCGCGAATCGAACTCGTCGAAGTCCAAAGTACAAAGCATGGGGTTAACAAACAATAATTTCGATTTCGCAGAAAGACGCCAAAATCGCGGAAGGAATCCTCCGGTCTTCGCTGCGACGCGATAAACCGAAACAATATCCTTCGTTTTCGTTAAAAAATTCTTTCGGGATCGATCGTTCTTTCGCAGAGAAGAGCCGATGTTTGTCGACGCGGTTTCGCAATGGTCGGCCAATTTTCGGATCGACGGCAACACCTGTACGCATCCGGCACCGGGATTCTAGGCACGGCGGGAGCAGCCGGAAACTCGTTCCTGTCGCAATCGACGGCATCTAGGAGCACGGTGGGCGCGGCCAACGACTTCGAGAACATCGGGGGATTAAAGGTTGCGCGGCTCCGGGGCGGCCCGGGGAGCGCTGGAAATTACGGTGGCAAGCGGCGCCCAAGAGCCAAGCGGATGATCCCGCGCGTCCACACGAATTCCCGTGAGCCTCTCGATGCTTCTTTGTCCCGGCGTTAATTAACCCCTGCGGCCGTCCGTTCGCCCCGGCGTGCTACCTGCGCGGCTCCCCGGAGCCACAGACCCTCGTCCCCCCTCCCCTGGCCCGTTTATTTCTCATCCGCGCGTACGTCATCGTCGTCGTTGTCATCGGGCCCCGGGCATCGGCGCAGATAGGCTGCGAACCGTTCGCCGAGGTCGGAGGTCTCCAGATTTCTAGCTTTATTGTAACCGGTGCAGACGATGCGTCCTTTATTCCTGCAATAGAATGCCTCCCCTTATTCTCGCCCTTATCGCGGCCGGAACGAGGTCAGGCGAACTCGAAGAGGCGGCGCGAGCGAAGGATCTCACTGACTAGGTGCGCGATCCGGTCTCGCAGAATTTAACCGCGTTCGAGTCCCAGGGGTTATTCGGAAAACACGGTTGAAAAGTGCCGAACACAGCGTGATAGCGCAAAAATAAATATCCGCGGGGGGAATATGCAAATCTCGCCGGACGTCCGAGAACGACCTGTCCAAATAGCGTCCAAATAATAGGGTGACCAAGTCGCCTCGCCACGGTCCAGCAAACTTGTAACAGCACCGCCGTCGTTTTATTTTATTTTTTTCGAGGCTTGAACGATTTATTAATGGAATGCGGCGTAGCTTCAAGCCAGCCTACGAGACTCTCTTCTGTTCCATGTTGGAGGATCCGAAATTTTAATCCGCATTTCATTACAGCTCCACCGAAACTCACGCTATCTATCACCGATGCCTCGGAATGCGATGGAAAATACATTACAGATTAAACTTCGTTCCAAGTAAAAAAAAATTATGTATTTCATTGAACAAATCGACAATTACTTAGTTGCCAACCCAATAGAACCGACGCTGTCGGCTATCGTCGATCCTGTCCTCTCGCGAGCGCGTCTGTCCATCGGCCGACTGCGTTCGCGTTTATCTAAACTCGCGAACGCCTGGTCCAGGAGCAACAACAGTGTCTTGAACCCACGATAAGACCGGCTCTAACCGACTCCCCCACAATTTCGCTACTCGAGCTCGCCGCTTTGAAGTAGTTTTGTTGTTGCGCGAGCGCCGATTACAATGTCTAGCTGCCGACAGATATCATCCACGAGGCCTCGCTTTTGTCTCTCCGTTCGCTGTCCCCCCGTTCGGCCCCCGGCCGCCCATCGATCGCCCTCTCCGCGAGATCGCCCTCTTCCCCGTTTATCGCGCCGAACCGTTCCCGCTGGATCGAGACTCGCGCAGAATTAACCGGTTCGCACCACCGCCCTGCGACCCTTGCCCTGGCGTCTTCCTCGTTCCACGTTCGTCTGGTCCCCGGCGTTTCGTCGCTGAAAACGAGCCCCTCTCTCTCGCGCGCGCGCGCTCACGCCGCGGCCAGACGAAACAATGACGATGTCGTCGAGCACCGTCGCCCGTAATCTGTCCAGACAGAAAAGTACGGGCCGGCGATCGGGATTAGAGCCCGATCGATCACCGCGCGATGGGTGCGCGCACTCGGCGCCTCCTTCGGCCGCCCCGCTGTTCGCCGTTTTATCGTCATTTTTACGTGGCCCGCGCCCGTTATCGGCCCGCGTCCGGTAATAACTAGCGCGCGTTTCGTCTCAGAACCGCGATCGATCCGGTGCGCCATCCGCCATTTGCGCCGGGTCCTCCGCGACGGAAGAATCCTCCGATTCGGGCGACGAGGATCGAAGATGGCGGAACGGAGGACGACGACGATGCGACACTTTCTAAGTCATTTTTCACTTTTCCAAAGTTTCGCCGAGATTTCGCCAACGTTGCAGATAGCTTCAGCTATCGCAATTAACCCTCACAGGACCATGATAATATAAAATAAAATAAATAAAAATCATCATTGCTAAGAGTGAATATTAGCATGCAACTGTTTATTATAGTTTGTTTAGATATATACGCGTTTCGTCTCAGAACCGCGAGCGATCCGGTGCGCCATCAATTTCGCGGACAGCTGCGGCGCGAGCGCGCGCGCGCGCCCGTCGGGCCCCGGTGCGGCCCGCGTTCGCCGATGGGAGAATGTGCCACCGTGAAATTTTGCATCGTAAACGTCGCGCCGCGGAAAGCGGCGAGGGTGCTGGAACCCGTTCGATTAAAGAGAAATTATTCGAGGTAGTTTTTTTATTTCGGAGCTGTTAAAAGGTCGGCGTTGTCGCGCGAAAATTGGCGAAATTATTCCGAACACGAGTTCCGACGAATCGGGCTTTGATTTGTAGAGATTGCTCGAGATTTGTCCGCACCCTACGGCTAATTTCGGCGCGATTTCGCTTACAGGTGCGCGGCTCGTTCGGGTGCAACAGCCCGGCACGACACGGTATCTACACGCTTCGCGACTTAATGGGCCGGTCTAATTGGCGTCACGGTTCGCGCACCGTTGTCTAAGCAGATGGAACGCGGCGACCGCCGAGCGACTTTTATCGGTCGACCGGGGAAAAAGAGAGCGCGATTTTTCCTGCGGTGCCGTCTCAAAGTTCAAAGGTCCGTACGATAACACCGCTCGCGCGCCGCATCAACACGAGGTGATAAGAATTGTGCCTCCGCCACTGTTTCCAAGCGATCCTCCGTGCGGTCGGCCACGATACTTTCGCGCGTTATCGTACTTCCTTTTGTGGGAGCCGTTCGAACGCGGTCGATCGACGGCGAATACGAACTGTCCGACGAAGCTACTGCGAGCGAAAGGCGTTCCGAGATGTGGACGGCAGAATTTAAGCATAATTCTGCAAATTTAATATAATATATATTATTAATTTAAAAATAATAATGAAATATAATATAATTAATAAATAATAATAAAATATATATTATTAATTATTAATTTCGCGAATATATTGGCGGAGCTTGTACTTCGAATTGTATTGTGCCTCCGGTATAAATGATTCGTTGAAACTGCACGGAAGAGTTATTTCGTTCGGATCGTTTGAAACTGCCGCCGTTGTGGCAAACAGCGCCACTCGTGGCGAAATTTCGAACTAGGATTACAGGGATCCGTGCAGCGCCAAAATCCGTAGTGAGAAAATGCTGAAACTGTTAGCCGAACTTACCGACAGCGTCGATTATCCTTTGGAAATGCACAGCGGCGACATCTGTCGTTCTGAAATGTAGCTACAGTCGGTAATTTGTCTACCGGTTTCAGTAGTTCGCCATTGCGTGCGATGGCGCTGTTTGAAGGTTTTCATGGGTCTGACACGGTGGCGCCATCTGCATGAATACTTGGAAGTCTCGGAGATCGTCGAAGATAAATTTTCATATTCGAACTTATAAATGAAATTTGTTCGTCGAACGGTTGCAAAGATGTTCCTTGAATTCTCGAACACAGACGGTATATTCTTTTACCGTTGAAATTACCAGGATTCATAGAATAACATGCGGATAAACTTTTCTAGGAGTTTTTAGTTGCGCCTTTATTTTAATGTGTAAATATAGATATAATTATGGTAATCTGAGATAGACAATCGATGCACGGGATCGTTACGAACATTTTGAGACCAAGCGTGAAATTTGATTCACCGTTATTCGCGAGTTATTTAATTATGTAATTTCATCTGAAATAGTGCCCGCTGACGAGCATCGAAACACTATCGCCACGTAGCGGCGAACTCCTGAACTAAATCTCTCCTGTATACCCTATGCAAGCTTGCCGAAAAACATTAATTATGGCATAATTACGACGCTAAAGGAAGTTAACCTAATATGTAGAACTGATAAGAAAACTCTGCTGCATCGATATAATTCGAAAAAAGTGAATGACAACACCGGGATACATAATTAATTAACATAATAGTTAATCAAATTTGAAAAACCATGTAACAATGTTTTATATTGTTGTCATATATTTTTCTTGTATGATATCGATGCAGCAGATTATTCTGAACAATCCTGTGTCTTTGGTTTAGTTTTTTATGCCCCAATTTTGTTGTAATTAATATCTTTCCGCGACCCTGCATCGTGCATATAGGTGGTACTTTTAGTTCGGCCGTCTGCCGCTACGTGGTGATAGTGTTTCGTGGTCCATGAACAAGAGCAGAGGTTCCTTTTTCGATCTGCAAGAAATTGCTGCTTACGTTTTGATTTAATTTTGTCCCCTAGAAGGAATAGGATGAAAAGATTTCTTCAAGCAAATTCGAACAAGTTTGAGCCTGTTTGGTATTTTTGTTAGGTCACTTTAATATCCGAGGGGAAATCTGTCGATACTTTGTGATAGATGAAGTTGTCGAGAGTTTCTGCCTCGAGTTCTGCATCGATCTTTTGGATGCTACGACTAGGGGCACGTTCACGCGGAAAGCGTTCTTGTAGCAGACGATAAACATAACCCTTTTATGTCTAATGTTTAACTGTTATCGGAGGCACGAATGTATTGATATAAACGTTATCTGTCATAGTATGCATAATGGCGAATGACAGAGAGGTGCTTAGAGAAATTTGGGACGGGAAAATTCCTGTCTGTTTCACGCTCGATTCCGAGGAGATTTGTGAATTGCAAGGTCCCGACCCGTTTTATCTTATGGTACCTAGGTTAAGTTACTTTCCTCTATGCACAGACAAGGTAAACATTCGTAAACGAAGTAATACTGACCGTTTCGCTGGATACTAATCGAGCATTCGTCATTTTGTCGATCAGGTACGGAAGCATTTTATACGACACATACAAAGCGATAATAAACAGGAGCTTGAAATGTGGTTAGAATTCAATGGCATCCCCTTGAAATGGCACTATCCTGTGGGAGTGCTGTTGGACATTTATTCCAATGACATTCAACTTCCATGGAATATAGTTGTCCACTTTGAAAAATTCCCAACGGACGTTCTGATGCACTGTCAAAATAAGTACATACATATTCCCTAGTTTAAAGTAACTGCACAGGGTAACGATTAAGCTCGATCTTATTAGGATTCAATTTTCAGAGAGGTAGTGGAGTCTTACTTTCTCTCTTGCGTAAAGGAAGCGGATGTACTGAAACATAGGAGTCAAGTTATGTCTACGATGCAAAAGAAGGATCACAATCAGCTGTGGTCTGGCTTATCCAACGATAAATTCGATCAGTTTTGGTCTGTAAATAGGAAACTTATGGAAGCTACAAACAGCGAGGAGAGTTTCAAATATATACCTTTCCGCTGTTACACCAGCGAAGACAAATACGTACAGAAGCTGGTGAAGCCCGTGAACGAAGAAGGCCAGAGGAAAACCTTGAGGCATCTACTAACCGAAGTTTTTCCAGACCAGGAGAACGGTAAGCGTATCCCTTGATCGCAGCTCCTGTTAATACAGCGGTATACTTACAACAGAATTTTCTTACAGTGACTCTATTGACGCATGGTATTATTCCATCTCTGGAAACACCGCTTCAGTGGATGTCAGAACACTTGAGCTACCCTGACAATTTTCTACATTTCGTTGTTACGTCATAATCCATACCAAATTCGCAACTAACCAACGGATTAATTGTGAAAAATTCTCTGAAACGGGAGATCGACGCTGCTTCTCCACGTGGAAATCGCCTGGCGCTCCAAACGAGACCCACACGTCGCTCTTTCTTTTTTTTATTCTGTACACTTTGTTGCGTATTTTGTTTTACACGAAACCATGAATCGCGCGCGGATGGTTGTTCCAACAAACAAAAACTTCCCATCCGCTTTATCGCTATTTCAATTCTATATACTTATAGAGCTCTTGGCTAGAATTAAATTGCTTGGATCGTGCTACGTTCAAATTCGGCGAGTACAAATACTTTATCGGATCTAACTAGTACGGATACCAGGGTAAAATAAGAGCTCTAATGTATATAGCACTAGTAAAAAAAATATTCGATCAAATAAACTGAGCATCTCTCGGTAGAACTATTTATATATACATATATATCTTGAGAAATATTTTTATCAATAACAAAGCCAAACGCGTAGCGATAAAAATATTCGAATCAGAGTTTTTCCAGGCACTTGAGAGAATTGGGAACGTTTTTAAACACCGCTTCGAGGAAAGGTTTTATCCCTCAATCGTTGAGGAAACGATTTTCGTGCAGCAATGACATTAATAATATTGATGGAATATTTTCTAGCAGGGATGGCATTCCCGATAAAACACCGGACAACGGTGCGACACTTTAATTTAAGCCTGACCCGAACCGGAAGTCGATGGCCGACGGGCCACGATCGTCGCTGATCGAGAAAATTGTACTACGACTAGCGAGAATGCGCCCGGAGGGGGAATATATTGTATAAATATAGTTGTATAATTATTTAAGCGCACGTCTATGTATATAAATATAACCGATCAAGACTGTAATCGATTATTGAGAGAGAGCTAGAATCGGTCGTCCATACGAAATAATCAGAGAGATGCCGAAGAACGGCGACACACGACACGAACGTATGTTTATTTACAACAGTGTACAACATTTAAAGCGAAGCCATTTTACTTAATGAATCACACAACTTTCCCGAGGCTTTCGGTATATCCTCATCAATTGCGAGGACACGTCCGAGGTGCTTTGAACAGCCAAAGCAGCGCCGGCCGGCCTCCTCACGATCACAGGTTGGTTCCCGTAACTGCTGTACTCCATGGTTCGTCGGCTGCTACCGAAAGTCAAATAATTCGCCGCGTCCTTTTTGCTCTGCTGCTCCTGCGAACAGTCCCACCGAATCGACCGTTTTACCATTGGAACTATCGCGATCGAACCAAGAATCTCTCTCTGAATCACCGTGAACCATGGTTCTCCTCTAGAAACATTCGCAACGTTATTTTCGTCGTGTCGACAGAAGTACAAGGTCGAGCGATTCGATTAATAGTTCCAGCGTTAAACAAACTCGGCGACGCGAACGATATACAGGGTGTCTCAAAAATGTCTCGCAATCCGGAAATGGCAGGTTCCTTAGATCATTTGTAGCAACTTTTAACAACTTTAGCAACTTTTTAACTCTTTACAAAATTTTTCTCCGAGGCACCGTTAACGAGTTATTAACGAGAAACAGTGACCAATAAGAATCGAGTACGGCTGACGCGAGGCGGCCGGGCCGACCAGCGCACGAAGCCCAGTTCCGCTCATTGGCTCGGTCGCCTCGCGCCAGCCGAGCTCGCCTCTCATTGGTCGCTGTTTTTTGTTAATAACTCGTTAACGGTGCCTCGGAGAAAATTGTTGTAAAGGAAAAAGTTGCTTCAAATGACCCGAGAAACCCGCCACTTTCGGACTGCGAGACATTTTTGGGACAGCTTGTANGTCGACAGAAGTACAAGGTCGAGCGATTCGATTAATAGTTCCAGCGTTAAACAAACTCGGCGACGCGAACGATATACAGGGTGTCTCAAAAATGTCTCGCAATCCGGAAATGGCAGGTTCCTTAGATCATTTGTAGCAACTTTTAACAACTTTAGCAACTTTTTAACTCTTTACAAAATTTTTCTCCGAGGCACCGTTAACGAGTTATTAACGAGAAACAGTGACCAATAAGAATCGAGTACGGCTGACGCGAGGCGGCCGGGCCGACCAGCGCACGAAGCCCAGTTCCGCTCATTGGCTCGGTCGCCTCGCGCCAGCCGAGCTCGCCTCTCATTGGTCGCTGTTTTTTGTTAATAACTCGTTAACGGTGCCTCGGAGAAAATTGTTGTAAAGGAAAAAGTTGCTTCAAATGACCCGAGAAACCCGCCACTTTCGGACTGCGAGACATTTTTGGGACAGCTTGTATATATATATATATATCAATCATCGAAACTACAGCTTCTGTACCAGAGTGATCTCGAGACCGGTCGCTGTCAAAATAAACTGTTTTTACATGTAAATCGATTGCAGAAAAGTGGAGTCTTACGACGAAATCCGTTTACTTTGTGTATAACAAGTGCCGCGTCCTGGTATCTATTGTGAATCTCCTCCTTGGTCAGCTCAATGTTCACTTCGGGCGACACATATCGATCCGTCATTTACAGCTCCGATCGCGAGACCTGTAATCAGAAACGGCCGGTGTCGTTTTACGAATTAAAAAGAATCGTCGTCGGAGTCCCCCCTCAGTCGCGTCGCAACCTTCGGGCGTCGCGAAGCGACTCTTCCTCTGCCAGGTTGGCGAAGATTAACGCGCCTCTGGAACGGGAACGACTGAAAAAGAGGACCAAGCGAACCGTCGACGCGACGAGAAAAGAAAGAAAAAAGAAAACGACGTGGGCCGTCGCCGCCGCCGCCGCCGACGACGAGGTGGAAACGCTTTAGGGAAGGGGTCACGGTCCAAAGGTAAAAATAAATCTGGCTGGACTTTTGCAAACGCGATAAACACCGAGATTTTCCCGCCGTTTCGAGGACCATTCTCGACGCTGTTACTCTCTTCTCCCTCTTTCCTGGCCCGCCTTCCTTTACACGCCCTTTCGACCGAGTCAAAATCTATCGTCGAAATTAGCGAAAATTCTTCGGATTCGATGAACCAAAACTTCCGGACGATCGTCCGAGGAAAAAGAAGAGGAGAGAAATAGTTTTATATTTGCTACCGTAATGCGAGAGATCGACGGCACCATTCGGGCGTGATTTAGCTGACGCAATGCGCCCGACGACGGTTGATGATCACGTTGCGCCCGTTGTTCTGCGAGCGGTTTCCTCGTCGGAAGAGTCACCGGGGAAAATACGTTTACGGCTGCTGCGTGTTCGCGCGATCGTTATTCGACGACCGGCGACGTTACACGGACAAGAGAGGAGAGATACACGGCGGGAATAATGAACGAAACGCGCGACGGCTTCTCGCGGCTGCTGTTCCACTCGCGAACAGAAGTCACGCTATTCGGTTTTTGGAGTCGGGCCAGATACTTTGTGGTATCCTTTTCGAGTTTCCGGTTCGGGATGCCAGACGACAGGGGAATATTCTCGTGTGCGCGCTTCTTCTCCCGGCATCCGCGGATAGACAATGGTTATTCTTGAATGCGAGACGACCCCGCGAAGGATCGAGCCTCGTTCGCAGGACATCTCTACGCGCCTCGATGGGAACAGCCGTTAATTTAACCCCTAAATGCACAGTTTTTTTGGAAAAAGGCCTGCCAAAAAAGATCAATTTTTTTCAATAATTTAGAACGTTGTCTTGGCAAGAAAATTACAACAAATATAAAAATAATCAAAATTTTTATTGCAGTTTTGGATTTTGATAACATCGCAGAAAATAGTCGAATATCGTAATATTACACGCGCATCGACTTTTTTGTATCTTTTCGAATTCCCATTTTTCAGAATAAACATTATTATCAGTAAAAATATTTATTTATACTTTCAAAACATAAATAATAACAATACTAGTGTTTATAAAATTAATCAAAATTTTCTTCTGTGCGATATATTTCGAAACAAGGTGCAGCACATAGTCCAACATTGCAACTATTACACATGTAACGACTCTCTTTTCTTTTCCTTTTTCTTTTGCTATCTCTTTTAGCACAACACAGCGCAATATCTTATGGGCGATTCTTTTTTTTGGTGTTGGTGAAACATCGATGTGGTGGAATTTTGATATACTGCGCTTTTATTCCATGGAAAAAGGCTATACTTTGTTCTTGAATAAATAAGCGTTATAGCCCATGTTAATGATAAATATCAATAAAACGATTTTTTTTTCTTTGCTTTCACATTCTTATTTTCAATTCTCGACTATATTCGAGTATGACAAATTATAGCAGCATAAAATACAACGCCGCTCGAATTATCTCGAGTGTGCACAGTTTGGCCTGTTTAGCGCGCTCGAGTTAACTCGAGCGTGCACGTTAACGCGTTGAATACCACGGGGGTCACGGTGACCGACACTTAACTTGGCGGTGACGCCATGGGGGCCACCGGTGACCGGCGCGCCCAAATTGATAGAAATATATATAATTTCAAACAAATGTCAATATCTAAAATTTTGTATTATTATATTATCATCGTCAATTCAAACAGTGGCCCCTGTCGCAATTAACACGTCAAACATGGTTATACACTGTAACTTATCTATTGCAGATNAAAAAAAGGTGCAGCACATAGTCCAACATTGCAACTATTACACATGTAACGACTCTCTTTTCTTCTCATTTTTTCCTTTGCTATCTCTTTTAGCACGACACACAGCGCAACATCTTGTGGGCGATTCTTTTTTTGGTGTTGGTGAAACATCGATGTGGTGGAATTTTGATATACTGCGCTTTTATTCCATGGAAAAAGGCTATACTTTGTTCTTGAATAAATAAGCGTTATAGCCCATGTTAATGATAAATATCAATAAAACGATTTTTTTTTCTTTGCTTTCACATTCTTATTTTCAATTCTCGACTATATTCGAGTATGACAAATTATAGCAGCATAAAATACAACGCCGCTCGAATTATCTCGAGTGTGCACAGTTTGGCCTGTTTAGCGCGCTCGAGTTAACTCGAGCGTGCACGTTAACGCGTTGAATACCACGGGGGTCACGGTGACCGACACTTAACTTGGCGGTGACGCCATGGGGGCCACCGGTGACCGGCGCGCCCAAATTGATAGAAATATATATAATTTCAAACAAATGTCAATATCTAAAATTTTGTATTATTATATTATCATCGTCAATTCAAACAGTGGCCCCTGTCGCAATTAACACGTCAAACATGGTTATACACTGTAACTTATCTATTGCAGATAATATTTCAACGTTATATGTATCACATAAAAGAAAATTCATCGTGGCGCCGCGGACAATTTCTGTGAAACCGGCTTGGCATTCAACGTGTTAATGATAAATATCAATAAAACGATTTTTTTTCTTCGCTTTCACATTCTTATTTTCAATTCTCGATTATATTCGAGTGTGAAAAATTATAGCAGCATAAAATACAACGCCGCTCGAATTATCTCGAGTGTGCACTGTTTGGCCTGTTTAGCGCGCTCGTGTTAACTCGAGCATGCACGTTAAGGGGTTAATCTCGGTGAACAGAATGGGAGAGAGAGAGAGAGAGAGAGAGAGAGAGAGAGAGAGAGAGGGGAGGATTCTCGGAGCGGATGGATCTCCGAGAAACGCAGAACGCATTCCTCCAGAGTCACCGTCACCGCGAATTTTTGCCCGTACGTGCCACTGCACCCTTCCTAATTGCATTGCACCAGCCGGTGACATTTATTGGCGTTGATTGAAGCGTTGCAACAGTCATACTTCGATTCAAGGTCCGCTCGGCCTGCAAGCGATGGCCTCAATAAAAACGGAGAGCGTTGCTATCGCCGTTTAACGTGCTCTCAGCTGCCAAAACAACATCCCGAAAAGTCGTACAACATCGAAATTATTTGAGTCCACCAGGACCGACGGCTGCTCGGCGATCGAATTTGGTAATTGTCGCCTAGGCGTTCCGCTAGTTACCATGAAATTTGGTTTAACGCTGAAATTGCGTTAGAACAATTTATAAGCAGTTTGCGTATTCAGACTTACGTGCGATTACTTGGTACATATATGTTTTATTCTTCGATGTAACATCGTTCAAATTTAATATCATTATATAGCGGACCATTTTTCCTAAGAATTGTATCTATTAACAGATCCTGATTTTTATTTCATAAAATGCTCGCGCTCTTGTCGCAGCTTTCCTCTCGATTGTAGAATAAAACGATCTGGAATAAGTTATTTCGCCGGGTTAAATACGTCGCGAATAACTTCTATTCGGCAAGATTTCCACCGAAGGATGTTGAAACGATTCTAAAGTGACATCGGTAAATCGGTGCACCTGTAATTCCGCGACCGATAACGTCGCCTCCTTGAAACGCGTCGAACCCAAAGCGCTCTGATCGAGACCGCGACGGCGGAAGTTTCTCAAACGAAGGATCAAGTGCGTCAGCGGGTTGCACAAGTTTTTCAGAAACTTTCGAAACGCCGTCCCTTGAAAGAAATCGCCGTTTATAACTTAATCGCTGAGAACTATGCTGCCTGTTTTTTCGCTGATTACCATCGAATCGATCGTTGCTCATTATCGTTCAATCAGCCTGGCCGTTCCGGCGTGCTCCGGACTCCGGAGGCTCGTATGCACGCGTTGCATCATCTCGTTGCACGTGTGCAACTGCCGCACGCGGGCGCATTCTTCGGGAGAATCGTGCGACGGAAACTGCAAATCATATTTCGCTTATCGTTAAGTGTAAGAAATTTTAGGCTATCAACAGAGAAAGGCTGTCGATTAACATTTTCTGCAATGCGACTTGCGATGTCCTCCGTCTCCGATTGGAGTAGACACACAGGGAAGTGACGTCACGTTCGCGCCAAATCATTCCTCGCGCCGATCGGATTCCGCTCGATACGAACGACGTCGATCGTCGCTTGTTCCACACGCGCGACCATGCGTTCAGACGCCATCTGTTTACCGCTGTGTTCGTCTTTTTTTCTATAACACCAAACGTAACCCGCAATCCGAGTGTGTAGTCGGACAGGTATTTAAATTTAGATTTATCAATTCCTAGCTACATTTTCCTTATTTACTGTATTCCGAACCGAGTCGGAAAATCGGTATAATTCGTACAGGCTGTATAATTTATATTTATAAACGGACCCCAGAATTTCAGACTCGTATTTCACACCGGCGTCGTTTCATTATTACGTACACAGATCCACGGCTTCTTGTTTGTCACCGAATCCAAATATCCCAAAATCTTCTACAAACCTATTATTTCATCCTTCACTGACTCATCCTCGACCTTTGTCCGACATTCGCATCATATTCGAATCTTTACCGACGCGTCACCACAAAAACTTGGAATCTGTATGTATGAACCCCTTTTTCCCTCGAATCATCAGATTCTCTGTTCTTCGAAGTTCATGCGCGTTTCGTTCGACTGTCTTAAACTATCGCATAGATATTCTGCTATCCTTACGGTGTATCGTCAATGTGTTAAGTTTCTTTGTATCTTACGAATAAAACACTTATCCGCAGAATACATAATTTGGATCAGCAGGGACACTACCAGAGGAGTACTAGTAATCTGGAGAAATTCGAATCAAAGATGGCCTCTTGGAAGAACATTCAGGACCCTAAGAAAAGGGAAATGATGGTCAAGGTAATGAGATTCGTTGCTTTCAGCCATAAGAAGATATTGTTACACTACTTTCCTATCCCGGATTACATGGATATAAGCGTAGGAGATCAGGTGCACGATATCCTTTTTACTAGCTACACCTTGTTAAGATTACACAACGATCTACCTGGGGCAACATCGGCAGCCAGAGTTTCAGATAGAGACTTCAAAATAATAGTGGGAGGCGATGAACACACACGCCAGAAACACGAAGTGCTTAATATTGTAAACGAAGAGGCTGTCGCTGCAGGAATACCTTTTGCAAAATATGACCAAAGAGAACCTTCCAACTGGTATGGCATTGCAAATACTCTCCTCAGTTTCTTAGGTGGACACGCCCTTAGAAGGGAAGAACTAAGACTTGGACACTCGTACATGCCTGTCAAAATGAAGGGCAACCGAAAAGGATACATCACCCTGTCTAGATACGGCATCTGTGACATTCACCACACGTTGTGCGAAGGAGTTTCTTACCCCCCAGAGAAGAGAGCTCCGATGTCAAAGTTGATGGGTCCTTTGGCCGTTTTATTGTGTTATATGAGGGCAAATAGAATATCCTCCCCAAAATGGACTAATGTTGTGAAGAGAACTTTCGTTGATTACCCCCATTTAGACGATGTTATGCAGATTATCAAAGGTGACAAGCTATCAGAGAAAAGAGAGATATTCAAATTGATAGCTAATGTTGCATTGATGGTTGGCACAAATAGCTCCTGTGGGATGTTTCCTCCACCTGCTGCTTTTAGTTATATATTCACAAACCGAAGCCATAAAGTGGGAACAAGTACGTACGATACAGAAGATTTGTTGAAAACCTTTGACTTCACATATCACGGTGCTTTTGCATTCTACAAAATATTCATGTCGAAAAGATGGAAAATCCGACTAAATGGGGCTACGGACACCATTGCTAAGCAGGTCTGCTACCATAGTATGTTTGGAACGTATAAAGAAGATTTAGGTATATTGTCGCAAATAACCAATCTTGCCGATTGGTGCACTAGACAAGAAATGAAAGGTGTGCTTAGGAAAGTCAATACCGAAGGGGATCTAATAGAATTTGAACCGGTGAAAGTGGTATTTTATTCTGAATTGGCTCAAGAGTACCAAACTAATCTGCTGAGATCAATTTCTAGTAGTGTATCGGAGAGGATAATTAACGACATTTTCTTTAATCAACTTACGAGTAACCAAAATAGAGTACTGAGCAGTTACAGAGACTTGGTAGACAGACTCAAGACGCGTATAATGTTGAACAATAAATGTCTCGAAATGGGCACTTCAAAGTGGAGAAGAATGGAAGACATCACGCCTACGTCAGAGGGAGAGGAAGTTAGTGACATGGAAGTAGAAGGTACTGGCAAGTACTTTCTATCGATTGAACAGCCACTTGATTCATTCGATACTTTGTTTCCGCTAGAATAGACTTCCTATATATGAAAAAAAAAAAGAAAAACTCTTGTGTTTACTTTGTATCTTTTCGTCACAATCTGTATTTGAAATTTCATCATTTATCGACGACGCAAGTGCATCGCCATTGGCTGTCGACAACCGGCGAGCAAACGGCCGATTGCGTGCTTAGAAAGTTTAGCGAGTACGTGCACGATCGACGATCCGCGGCCACTGCCAATCGGCCGCGATAACGGAAACAATGCGTCGGTCGCATCGACGTGACCGCTTTCAGTGCACATGTCAACGTGTGAGTTGCTTTCTGCTTATCTCCCGCGCGACGTTGATCCTTCTTCGAACGCCGTCGAATTGTTCAGGATCGAAACTGAAAATCTGTATCCGGTACAATAGCTCGATAGACCAGTCACACACACACATATTTCCACATCGTAAATAAAACTATTGTATTCCAATGGTAGCCGAAATATGCCATAAAGCGACTGAAGCAACACGGAAGAAGGTGAATTTATAAACAAAATAATCCATTCGGTTTTTGTCGATTCAACGCAGCAGCGCGCAGTGCCTTAGTGTATATATATATATACTATATTATTATATATATTACATTATATTATATTTGTATATAGCATATATATAGCTATATATAATTAATATAGTATATATATATATATAGTTAATCTGAGCTAATTCAATGTTCGGATAATAGAACAGCCGATTACAGCGCCGGACTTACATTTCCATAGATTTATACGGTGAATTGTTCCGCGCGTCGCTTTAGACCGATCGCACGCGACACGTATTTAGATAACTAAGAATTTTAAATGGGAGAATCAGACAATGGGTGGTTCCCCTGTATTTTTTATTTGTCGCCAAAACACGTTTTGTTATTACGAATAAGTAATAATCCTCAACGGTATTATTATTTTCTATTATTTTACCGTCAACACACACTTATTTTCTGTTCTTTTTATTATATCATTTCTATTGTTTCACCGCTTCGTTATACTATTCGATGCGACATATTGCCAAGCGATTGTAACACAGGGACTTTTCTTCCGTCGATTAATAAACTGATTATTATTATCATTAAGTAATTAATAATTATTATCATTAAGTAATCAATGGCCGTTTGAGTAGATCGCACCCGAAAGCACAGATTTACCACAGTTCATTTCGTCCGGCGTTCGTATGCGGTTACGTTACGAAAGCGAAGTGTTCGATCAAAAATGTGATACGTACGGAGCGTAGATTTACGAAGGAAAGTTTGGGAAACGTTCTGTCTTCCGGGGTGACAGAGCAGTCGCGGATCGAATTAGTCGAGTAACCTCATTAACCGAGACCAGCCCCGCGGTTCGATCGAGGTTTTTATTCCGTCGCAGATATACACACCGGCCAGCCAGAGATTTCATCAGATAAGATTAATACATGTACGTAGCCACGGAGGAGAAGGCACTCGAGACGAGACAATGCCTGGAATGACACAGGCTCGCGTTATTTTTCACCGGGCGGGGGGAAGGGAACTTTCAAAGGCCCCGATAGCGAAAGCGCTGGCGCGAAACGCGACCGACGGAATTGAAACTTTATTCCTGTTATTACCATTACGGAAATTGCCGGGGGCACCGATCAAGGGTAAAAGTTCCAATTGTCCAATAAATATCGTTATATCCGCCGTTCTCTCGCTTCGGCCGCGGCGGCGGATCGGCCGGTGGGATTATATCGCCGCGTGCGATCATCCGGCACACACACGATCCGAGAGATTCGAATCGAAGAAAGTACCGTTCCACTGAAATCAATTTGTGGAGCAGCCTGTGTGCGTACCTTCGGTTCGGCTGTATCAACTTTCTTCCATATTATCAGGCCCGCTCTGTTATCTACAGCAGACGTTGCTTCAGCTCGACGACGCGCGCGCGTGCACGCGCCGCGCTCGTCTCTCACGATCCGGAAGCGGAGAAAACGATCCAACGGAAGTAGCCGACCGCTGGATTTCTTCGAGAACAGTCTTTTCTTAGAATCGAGCAATCCTGCTGCATGATTTACGCACAACGTTGCCGGAGTAACGCGAACTTCATTCGAGACCGACGCAGACTTACGACGGTTTGTCTACAACCTAACCTATTGTAGTTTCCGAAAAGAATGTTTTAGGTTGGAGGATAAGTTCGTAGCGTTTTTATATTTTCTTTTATTTTACAACGATCCTTTGCTGTTCGACAAAGTGTATAATATTCGTTCGATAGGGCTCTTTCTGCTCTACAAAACTGTGCTAATCGTCTTTTTGAGTAATTTAATTTTTCATTAATTTTGAGGCTTTGGAATGGAATATCCAGGAGGTAAAAAGCAACATTTTCGACACCTTCGCTTCTTCGCTTTTCATCGAGGCCAAAAAGCTGCCGAAGCAGCCCGGGACATTTGCAACGTATACGGAGAAGGTGTCATAGGCGAGTCTACAGCACGGAAATGGTTTGTGAAGTTCAAAAATGGCGATTTTGACGTCGACGACACGCCCCGCATCGGAAGACCTTCCGAATTCGACAAAGAGCGTCTCAAAGCACTTTCGAAGGAGGACGGTCACCGAACAAGTCGTGAATCGACCGAAGAAATGAACTGCGATCATAAAACGATTCTCGATCATCTTCGTTCGATGGGATTTGCCGAAAAATTGGGAGCCTGGGTGCCTCGCGAGCTTAACGAAAACAACGAAGAAAATCGTCTTCGATAAAAAACGCTACGAACTTATTCCCCGACCCAATAGATAAATATCAGTGCAACGCGCGTAACATTTTTCAATGCAGACTTTGAAAAATTAGAGAAATACCGTTACAGAGTAAATTCTTCCTAATCGACGCTCGGCTGAAACAGAAAAATGGACAATTTAGGAAGAGGTTTATTTTTATAGTTACAGATTGTCAACAACTGTAAAAAGCGAGCCGCAAGGCCTTCCAAAAATTGTTCATTTTTGTGTCTTGGCTGAGCGTCGATTAGGCAGAATTCGCTGTACAACGCGGAACAAAACAAGAGCTTTTAAACGCACGAGATGTCTCATGGGAAATTTATCGTACGAGTGTGCACGTCGTATCAGATTCACCGGTCCTTGATAAAAATGCTACGAACTTATTCCCCGACCCAATAACAACGAACCTGGACCAATTCTGAAGCTTCTATTTTTACCGCGCATCGTTCGTCCTCTCGTTTTCGCATAATATAGCGGCCGGAGGCACGGCTCTCCGACGAATTCGCGACAATGTTGCACCATTCGCTGCGTTTAGAAATGCGACGCGCGCGTACGACTTCATGGAAATCGACTGTAACCGATGCGAAGGGCGACACACGCGGGTTTTCACGCTGACCAGAGCCAACCAGGTAAACCGGAGCTGTCATGGAACTGTTACGTACGAGGAAAATTCAGTTCGTCGACTTTCGGTGTTTAACGTTTAATGCAACGATTCGCCGATGATGCGTCAAATTCAGCGATCAGACGTTCTTCCTCGTGTGGAGCGCGTCCTCTGTCTCTCTCTCTCTCGCGTTCGCCGTCTTCCTCCCGATGAATCACAACGGATATGACCGGTAATCGGGCGAATTTTCCCGTCGGAAGGGAAACGCGTCGGACGCGTTTGGCCGCGACGGAATCAATAAACGGATGCCGTCGCATGGGTCGTCGACGACGGAGAAGAAAGAAATATGTATTTGAAAAGAAAGAGAATAAGATGTCCCTTTCGTTGTGTTAGAACGCAATTTGCGTTCTCACGCTGTACGTAGGCTCGCGCAATTTTACTCCGACGAACGACGCGGTCTGGCAACAATTTTAGAAACTGTTATTTAAACGGTTTCGAATGCGGAACAGTTCGAGTAAAACGTGACATCGAAACTCCTTCTTTTTTTTTTGTCGCAATACGCGGTCGTTCCGAGGAGTTCGCAAGAATTTTGCAAGCTGCGCGAACGCAGATCTTCTACATATATAGATATAGTTTTAACGACCGACGATCCTTGGAACGCGATGACAAGGAAGCAGGAAAAACGGGAGAGCAGCAGTTGGTTGAAACGTACAATAATACAAGATTGGTTTTCTCTTCGATTTCGTTTATTCGACGAACAAAGGAAACATGACTCGCTGTAAACGAGCGGCGACGGTCGAGACTCGTCGACCAATAAATAAATCGAATAAATTTCAATACTGATTATCATTATCGTTATCATTTAAACGGTATGGACGAATCACCGGTGTTCTTCTGTCGCGGGGATAAACAAACACGTATCCTTGCCGAGAGATCATCAGCTGGGGAGACGTTGTCTTCGCCGTCGGAGGACGCGATAAAAAATATATAACATATTATATGTATGTATATATATATATATAGATATGTATTTCTACACACCATGAGTGGCTCGTGTCGAGGACGCGATATTATTGGTCCTTGGTTCGTCCTCGCGCGAAGCTATAAGGCACGGGCGATTTAAGGCACCGGGCGAGTTTTAAGAGGCGCTTCGTCGGTATAGAACTTGATCGTATTAAAATATAATATTTCAATATATAATCTATCTAACTATTTTATATATATATATACGTGCTCTGTCTCTGTCTCATCTCAACGCTGTATATGTATTTATTTATATATACATATATATAAATACATATACGTATACATATATATATATATAAATTTCTTTGTACACGTACGATACACGAGCATTATGCTTGCGACATAACTTTTTATCCGTCTCTTTCTGTTCGTCTATACGCACCTCTCTCGCTACCTACACAAAGTTGCACAGACTCAAAAAATCGCGGGGGCTCGCCCACGAAAAAATCTCGAACCCTACACGCATACGATTTTCTCGATTCTCGTCGTCGTTCCGTTGCACGCGTTTCTTTTTTTACACGCTTAAAAAATATATGTATATATATATATATATATATCTATGTATATTGCTCATGTACGCTCTATGCCTCGTTTAATAGACTCTTGTGGGCTGTGCACACGGAATACACGCAATCACGCACGCACGCACGCATTCACGCACGCATCGCATTTACAGTAATGGGTCCTACTCCAGGCCGGCAGTATGATCCGTGACCGAGAGGATCGATATGGAAATTTTTCATTGCTCCGATCCGCTGCCGTGACAGTGCCCGCGACGGATTGGACACACGCGGTAAGATGGTGGGGGTGTGCGCGCCACCTTAGGGAGCAAGAAACGCGACGGATGAGTAGGTCCCATTACCATATCTCTCTCTCTCTCTCGTTCACGCGCGTGTGAACGCACACGCACACGCGCACGCAGTTTCACCTATCGCTTTCTCGTCAGTCGGATTCGACACCACCATCCCGTCGGTCGGCTCGCTCATTATGTAAAACGTATTATGGCATTATGTAATTCATTATGGCTTACGATTACGTTACATTTTATTGTACATTGCCGCCTTGACCCTCCACCGCGACGCCACGCGCGCGCGCGCGCACGCGGGCAAGGCTCTGTAATACGGTTTCATCACACCTGACGCGCGTGTTCCGATTCCATTTCCAACGCGATTTCCCTGATATGTTTTCGCAACTATCGCGTATCTGTCTACCCATCGACCACCGAGTTTTTCTACCCCTGACGTCGCCCTCGGCTAAGAAGATGGCCGCCGAAAACTAAACTCGTCGACGCTGGCCCGCGTTCACCCACCCTCTCTAGTTCTGCCGGACAGTGCGCGCACATTCGATGCATTCTGGACAAAAATTAACACGCGAAAGCAACTGCTTTTATTATGCAGCAATTCGATAATTCTTAGAAGTTTTTAACTATTTCGTGGCGAACATTTCAGCCGTTTCAAATCTCTACGTAAATCCATGCGCCGTTCGTTTCGGATCTAAACTCTGATTACAAGCTCTCCGCTTCTTTTAGAAAACGACCAATGACGACGAAGCTACAGGAAAATTGTTTATGCTAATATAAACCGTTTGCTTTTTTCTAGAGAATGCCGATAAAGCGGAAAACATATGCCGATAAGCGGGAAAATCGCGAACGCGCCCTTCCCGTCGTTCGAAGGAACAGCGGGTGGCCAGAGTTTCACGGTAAAAAGCGACCATCCCCTTCCATCCAAGTGGCAGTCCTCAGGTGTGCGAGCCGCGAGATATCGTTGACCCTCGGTGCGATCAACGGGGCGCACGCCACGCTCGGCGACGCGTAATGCGCGGCTGTCGTGACGCGCGCGCGGCCGGACGAAACGAGCTCGATTGAGCATGAATATTGAAACATTGACGCAACTGGTCCGTCTGCGACGGTCATTTACAAGATTGCCCGGTTCTTTGCCGCGACGTTTCGAGCTCAATTGGACGCCGGTTCTCCCGGGCCGGTTTCGCGGAAGGCTATTTTCCATTTCGCGGCGTTACGTTCCGCGTCGCAGACGGATCGTCGCCGGTGACGCGCGCGATCCGCTTCATCGATCCGCGGTGCCGATAACAGAGCACCGTTCCACACAACGTGTGAACGATGCGCGCACACACACACGCACATACATACACACAGAATCGCCGGAGATAGAAACTTTCCTCGCGAAGGACGCCTCCGATAAAGAGGGAACGCGTTATCGCTTTGGAAATCGGAACGCGAGTCGACGCAAGACGGACGCGACGTTTCCTGCGATCACCGACGACGCGATCCCCGGAACGATCGATGGAATCGGTTTTCGGGGAACGAAATTCAAGCCCGCGGGGAGGATTACGGTTCTCGATTGCACGCCGCTGGACCGGAAGCCGTTCGAACGGCACCGAGCGTCTCTCTCTTATTTAATAGTTCCTAGGATTTTCTAAGGGGTGGTTGGTCAGGCTGACGGCAACCGTAGGACGAACGCGAACGATCGGCCGATCGATCGATCGTTCCAATTGTTTCGTAACTGGTTCTCAAGTATTGCCACGTATTTATTGAATTTTTATCTATACGATCGTTTTTTTATTCACGATATCGTTGAATCATAAACTACAACGGTTCGACGTTAAACCTACCGAACGGTTCAATTCGTCCCGGTGTACGTTACTGCTTTTCAAGTAAGAAGATCCAATTTGTTCAGATCTTTTTTACGGTTTTCAATTGTTACAGCTGTTCGCAGTAACGTACTTTATTCGATGGTTTCTCGATCGTGGAAGTGTCTTTGGAATTTTTATAATTGTAAAATGCGTAACCGGTCGTTCTTGACCGCAGCAGGTTTACTGTTAATCTTTAATTTTTTAATTCGGGAATTTTCGATTTTTCAATTTTCATTTTTAATTCTCAATTTTTTTATTTTTTTTTCTTTTCTTTTACATTTTCCGTTGTAGACATTTTACTCTTGCGTTACTGAATTCTGAGTATTACCGCCACGTTCTGCAGCAAAATTACTTAAGGGAGAATGTTCCGAGTGGCTCGAGTCTGTTTTCACGTCATTTCCAAACGTTTCGTCCAACAAGGAAGGGTTTTCGGAGAATCAAAAGATAGGGGATACGTATTTTCTTTGTATCGGTTCAATCTGATGTTTAGGAGGAGAAAGAGGAAGGATTATTATCAAACTTGCCGTAAACTTGATTTGTGGCATATCCGGGTGGGCGAATACTGGTCTTGTTTCATTCTAACAAATTATTGTGCGATTACAAATTTGCGAACTTATGACCTTCCACCCTTACCGAGGGGTAAACCACCCCTGATTGTGATGAACTGCTTAATAGAATGAAAATTGCGCGTTCTATTATTTAAAAGATATATAATAATTACAGATATATAATTATTTTTGAAAGTGCAAATTGATATTAAAAGCGTGAGAATTAAAAAAAGACAAAGTGAGGTCATCAATTGTAAAATAAGCGAGGCTACGCCCAACAATCGTCATTATTTGCAAGTCAAAAAAATACAGTAAAATCTCTCCCGGACAATTACAGTCGCCGACAATTTGTCAGAATGAAATCTAAAATTTCTGAAAGATTTTACGAACTCCTTACGGCTTTCAAGTATTTTAAATGCGCATTGAAATCATTAGGGGTAGTTTACTCCTCGTCGAGGATAACTAACCACGAAAACAGTATTCACACGTCCAGAAAAGCCACAGATTAAGTTTATAACGAGTCTGATAAAAATCCTTCAATTAACTTTCATTATATATCCATCTTATTATTATATATTCTCCCCCTAAATAGAAGATCTGACCGATGTAGAAAAATACGTATCCCTCTTCTTTAAAACATATAAACATCCAAATATAATACAAATAAACCTAACCAAAGCAAACGCACACCTAAGTGACCCTTCCTTGTATGAGCAAGAAATTAATTAACTTAAGGACTATTTAACCTAATTTTCGGAGTCGCGCTCGTCGAAGGGTCTGCTCAAGATCCTCGACAACCACCCTTTTTTTATCGACCGTTCTATAAGGCACGCATGTTTCTCAAAGCGTTCTCGTGTAGAGAAAAATGATCTACGATCAGCCTTTTTCGCGGATCGACTTTGTTTCGTTGACGACAAAAATATATATATATATACATATATATTATATACAATATATGTGTGTCCGCTTATTTACAGGTAAGTCTACGATCAGCCTTTCTCGCGGACTGACTTTGTTTCGTTGACAACAAAAAAATATATATATATATACATATATATTATATACAATATATGTGTGTCCGCTTATTTACAGGTAAGTCTACGATCAGCCTTTCTCGCGGACTGACTTTGTTTCGTTGACAACAAAAAAATATATATATATATACATATATATTATATACAATATATGTGTGTCCGCTTATTTACAGGTAAGTCTACGAGTATAAGTTTCCGCGCGTTTGTTCGTGGACCGGCAGAAACCGAAGGCACGGCGAGCAATTCCCTCTCTAGCGGAAACGATCCTTTCCGAGTGGCACGTTCATTTCTTTCCTTCCTATTTCGGCTGCGGACAAGGGACTCGAATCGATTCGCTATAAATCGAATAATGCTGGCTGGCTGGACAGAACGTACGAATTTACGTTGCAGAAATAATTAGATAACAGCTGGCCGACAGTCGACCTCTGTCTCGGATTCAATTCGGCGATACAAAACGGCGGCGTTTCTCTCTAAAATTCCAAAATATTAAGGGGACCAGAAAGTAATGTCGTTTCTGCGCATATTTATCTGTTTGAATTTAACGTAAACAAACGACATAACTTTCCGGTCCCCCTAATATATCTGTCTTTTTGCTTGAATTAGTTTCACGAATCACGGAGCAATGATCTTACTTGCATACGGAAAGGATCGAAAGAGGTTACTCAAATTTGTTTCCTGTTGCAACAAATACCGACTGCGTCGAACAATCGCGTCAGTCGATTAAGCAGAATGAATTTGGTGTCGAAAGTCTTAAAAATTACGGATTCGTCCAGCAAACCCCGTTCTCACGGAACACCGTCGTGAAAACGCCCCGTGAAAACGTCGATCGGCTTCCGAGAGAGAGAGAATTCTCGCTCTCGGAAGCCGATCGGCTCGCGGATCTTGTGTCCAGTAGCCGGTGGATCGTTCGATTGCTTGTCGCGGTTATTTACATATTTACAGGTTATCGATCCAGCCGAGAAGGAAAGAAACGAAACGAAACGAAACGAGGTGGGAGAGGCCGCGCGAGCCGAGGCTCGGCCGCTTAAAGAAACGCGAGAGAAGACGGGGAGAGTCTAATGAGAGAAAAGAAAAACGGAGACCGGAACCCTGTCGTAATACTTGCGCATCGCGCGTGCAACGGCCGCGCTGCCGCGCATGGAAGAAATTGTTTGAGCAATTAAACGATATCTAGGATCGATCGCCGACCAAGGCGGAGTAAAAAGAACCGGCGGGAGAGTCGCGTACGAATTTTCCGAATACGTTTCGAATTTTCCGACGCGTTTTACTTCGATCGGGTGGAAAATCGCGACGCGTACGTGTCGAACGGGTTGCGTAACGTGACGCATCGCGAGAAACTCGATTCGCGAGGGAGAGCTCTTTTTCTTTTTTTCTCCCCCCGCGATCGATATCTCTCGGCAACGCGACTGACATAATTCTGTAATTATAGCGAATCCGCGCGACCTCTAAACGGCCTAGCCGATAGCCGCCGCGAACGGTAATCTCGATGATAAAGCGAGCCGCGCGCGAAAAAAAAGTCCCGCCGCCGCCGCCGCGGAGAGATATAATACGCGCACGGATTTTCGTCGGGACGCGCGAGTGTGTTCGGCGAGAGAGCGACGACGCGGTGACGTTACGTTACCGGCGCGCCAGAGAAAGATGCGAACGGAGAACGCGACCATGTATAATCTCCTACCACGCCTCCGATCGTCCAATGGCCGATTAAGACTTTATCGCGATGTGTAACGCCGCGCCGACGATCCGTGGAAACGATAAACGCTCACGTGGTGTGCGCGTCGAACGACGCGGCCGCGACGTGTCGTAGATCACGTACCGGTCGATCCTTCCGCTGTGAATCCTTTTCCGCGCCCTTTCGCCGGTAGGAACGACCGGCAAACTCGATGAACAGGAGTAAGCTGAAGAAAAATCGAAAAAGACGGCTATTTCTATTTTTACGAAAGCGATTCCGTCTCGCGACCGATCGAATTTAACGTCCTGGAAAATATTTTACAAAATCGGAGTTTCGCCGGAAGGAACGACCCGTGAAGCGACTCGGTAAACTCGATGAACACGAGTAAGCTGAAGAAAAATCGAAAAAGATGGTTATTTCTATTTTTACGATTCTGTCTCGCGACCGATCGAATTTAACACGTCCTAGAAAATATTTTACAAAATCGTAGCGTCGAACGTTCGCGATCGGCACTTATTGGACGAGCATCTTCCTCGAATGAACGGAAAGTGGGGTGAAAAAGAATCGTTGCTCTTACTCCGCCAAGTCGGGTCTCGCTATAGTCTTCGAATTACGTGTAATGAGGGCTCGATGGATACCTAACGAACGCGCTCCTGACCTGCGGGAACTCGGTATAAGAGCTCGGATGCGCTCTCCAGGAGATCGGTAGTCGGAGACTGAACTCTAGGGCGTAGTCGTGACCTCGGGCCTCGTTAAAATTGCAGATACTTTGGCAGTTGTTGTTGTTGTTGTTGTTATTGTTGTTGTTCACGTTCTGGTTGCTGACCGGCGAGAGGTCCCTCTGAACGGTGTGCTCCTTCGGGGGCTTGCTGACGGGATTGTCGAGGTACGGCTTGAAGAGGATGGCGTCCTGGGTCGTTGGTCCCGCAGCGGCAGGCGGAGGCGCGGCGGCTGCCGGCGGCGTGGGCCCGGCGTTGGTGACCGCCTGTGTGGGTATAGTGTTGGTCACTGGTTGTGCGGCTATGGCGCTGGTCACCGGCAGCGTGGGCAGCAGGTTGATGGTCACCGGCAGCGTGGACACGCTGCTGGTCGCCGGCGGTGTTGGAACGGTGGTGCTGGTCATCGGCGGTGTTGGAACGGTGCTGGTCATGGGCGGTGTAGGCACGGTGCTGGTGACCGGCTCCGTTCTGGATGGCGAAGAGACGGGGGATCTCTTCGGCTTGACGAGACAAAGTGGCGTCTCCTGGGGCGGCGCCTCTCGCGGCGGCGCCTGTTGTAGCGGCGCCTGTTGCGGCGGCGTCTTTCGGGCCGGCGATTCCTGGCAGGCCGAGCCGGTCCTGGCCGGCTCTTCCAGCTCGAGGTAGATCTTTTTCGGCGATCGGGGCTCCTCGTAGCAGCAAGGCTGGTCGCAGTGGTGTCTCTTCCGGGACGAGGTGGTCGCCGCCTCCTCGGCGAACTCGGAAACGCACCTGATCTCGGTCGGGTACTCGATAGGAGAATAACAGTACCGGCCGATGGCCGGGTCCGAGTAGCAAGATCCTCTTAAGGACACTTCCTGGTAGTACGAGGTGACCGATGCCGCCGCGTGGTTGCTCTCCAGACAGCAAGAGAAGGTGCAAGAAGCCGTCTGCTCGCCCTCCGAGGCCGGGTCCGCTAGGACCGAGCGCTGGTAGTATGGAAGATGCTGCGAGGAGGAGGAGCCCAGGTCGCAGCAGTAAAGCAGCGGCGGCGGCGGCGGCGATGTCTCGTATTCCACTGCGATCCGATCTTGCGATAAGCCGGACGCATAGGTTGACGTCCGGAGATCGACCGGTGACTCACCGGAAGCGACATCCTGGACGGGGCCCAGTCGTTGCCGCGAGTTTCCGCGGACCGTGATCTCGCCCCTAAGATCGTCCTCTTGGCCGAGCCATTTCTGCACCTGGCGGCGGTTGATGCCGAATTTCCTGGCGGTCGCTCGTTGGTTCCCGGCGACGCTGACGTCCCGATGAAACGCGTCCAGAACGTCCAGCTTGAATCGTAGGGAGAACGAGCGTCGCCGTACGAGATCGTTCGACGAGTTCTGGCTGCCGGAAGAGCAGTCCAGAGGGTCCATTTCGCTGTCGGAGTAACTGCTACTGGACCGGCCGGAACTGGCGGGTCTGCGCGGGCTCGAGGGCAAAGAATACCCTTCCCGTTCGGGCATCGGGCTCACCGGACGCGAGCCGACAGGTGGTGGCCTTTGATAATCAACGTAAGAGACGGCAGCCTCCCTTCCGTCCTCGCTGGCCTCCTGCTCTTCCTCGATCATCAATTCCTCCTTGACGATCGCCCCGCCGATCTCCTCCGCCGTGTCCTCCGGCCCCTTCTCTCCGATATGGGACTTCGTCGAGTCCCGGATCGGCTTCTCGGAATCCGACAAAGGGGACGCGTGTGCGTGAATGTGCACGTGCAGGCACGGGCTAGCGGGCGCTCGCGGGGAGTCGATGTAAGCGTACGACGCGGAGCTGCTGCTGCTGTTGCTGGTGGGTGAACGCGAAACGGGCGAGAGCGGGCCCCGAGGGGCACAGGGCGAGAACGTCGACTCGCACGGCCCTGGCGTCGCCGCCGAGTCTGGGCTCGCTCGCTCCGTCTTTATCATCGACGGCGCTAGTAGCAAACCGTACGATGGTTTCCCGTCTACGGGGGAGTCCACGTCCCCGTGGCTCTGCTGGGACCGATTGTGGCTCGGTGAACGATGATGATGCTGATGATGCTGATGGTTCAGCTCGGCCTCGACGTAACGATGTTCTGTACGCTGTAACACCCGATGATAGCTCGTCAGGTTTTGGTAGACTTTAATCTCGCCGCGACCATCGTACGACGAACTCTCGATCTCCCGATGATTTCCATCCGTATTCGTGATGTAGTACCTAGACTGTTGTTGTTCGGTGTCCCTGTAGTCGTGGACGGATTCCTGGACGCGATCGTCCGTCTCGCGACGAAGATGACGTTGCTCTTGATTGATGGTATACTCCGGATAGCGGACAGGCATCGCAGGAGTCGTGGCGCATTGAGCCACGTATTGGGGCGACGAGGGTGCACCACCGTGAGGAGGATGAGGAAGAAGAGGTGGGGGCCCTTGCTGTGTAGCCAGCTCGTCGCCGTGCAGTCTGGCCAGGCTGAGGTTCAAGGCCGGCGCGGCTGGAGTCACGGCAGGCCCCGTGGCTTCCGTCACGGTACCGTCCGGCTTGGAAACACCCGTCGACGAGATCACCGTGGCCGTTGCAACGACGGCAGTGGTGTTGTTGTTGTTGCTGTTGCTGTTGCTAGTGTCGCCGCAATTGTTACGCAGGGTCTCCTCGCACTGTAACCACTTTTGTATCTGACGTCGATGAATCCCGTACTTTCTCGCGGTGGCCCGCTGATTGCCGCGACAGTCGATGTCGTTGCGATACGAATCGAGAACTTTCAACTTAAATGTCGGCGCGAATATTCGTCTGCTGCCCATCACTCCGACCGATTTCCTCGTGGCAGTCGTCGTACCGGCGGCTGCCGCCTGCGTCGACTGCGTCTGCTGGTGCACTGCCGCGGATTGATGTTGCCGCTGCGTTCGATGCACCATTTTCACCGAGTTCCCCTCACCGAGCACCTCGCTCGCACCATGAACCACAACGACGAATAACTTCGCGCACCAAACCCGACGAGCCGGGCTCTCCGTTTTTTCAACGTGACGTCGCCGACGTCCGTCCGTCACACGACAAACACCGCGGACGAGAGCGAAGGTAACAATGACGACGACGACGAGCTTCGAAACCGGGCACTGCCAACAACGCACGGGGGTACCTTAACGCGTAACATTGCACGAAGTGCTTGCCTGGCCGCGCGCGCACGGAGTTCCTTTTAGGTCTCTTGGTAGATGCCGTAACTAATTTTCATCCCTACCACCGGTCGAGGACTGCGGCTGCTTCCCACTGAGCGGTTCTCTTCCCTCGCCCCGCTACATGTACCCATCGTCCCCTCTCCTTTCCTCTCTCGCTCTTTATCGGTCTCTCCCTCTCCCGCCTAAACCTTTCCTCTCTCGTTCTCTATCGGTCTCTCCCTCTCGCGCCACGAAACGCGTCTCTCTCGCACGTACTAGAAGCCCTGCAACGCTTCGCGCGTCTCTCTTCGCCTCGGTCTCTCACCGTCGGTTTCCCCCTCCATGCCGCGCTCTTTCTCCCTCTCTCTCGCCGCCTTTCTCCTCGGTCTCTCCATCCAGCAAGCGCCCCTCAACACATACCCAACATCCCACTCGACCGGCATAGGCGCTAGAGTCCACCGCTGCCGACCACCAGTCATTCTTCTTTCTTTACGCCTAACCGACCTAACCTCCACCAACTACTAGCTCTTCTCTCTCTAAGTACGCTTCTCGTCATCCTGCCTGACTACCCGCACCCGTAGACGCCCACCCGCCCCTCCACCTCCCCCTCCTCCTCCTCCTCATCATCGTTCTCTGCCCCTCTCGCACACCTCCGCTTTCCCGCTCTCCCTCTTTCTCTCTTCCACCGTCTATCCCCCCACCCCTCCCCCGTCGCTGTTCCCTTTCACACCTCGGTGCCGTAAAACTCCGCCATTTTGTGTATTCACTTCCGTTAATGACGCGCGCGGGAAACGTCACGCCGGCGTGACGACGTTCTCGGAGCCATGTTGTCTGCCGCGCTCGTCTGACTGCCTGGCTGCCTAGCTGCTACCCGTTCTCTCTGGTTCTCGCCGTGGCAGCCAGCATGGAGCCTAGATTTTTGCTCGCCTTTCTCCTCGGCCAGCGCCGTGCCTTTTCTCGCCTTCTCGGCGTTCCGGCCGGCCGTATNCGTCCGTCTCGCGACGAAGATGACGTTGCTCTTGATTGATGGTATACTCCGGATAGCGGACAGGCATCGCAGGAGTCGTGGCGCATTGAGCCACGTATTGGGGCGACGAGGGTGCACCACCGTGAGGAGGATGAGGAAGAAGAGGTGGGGGCCCTTGCTGTGTAGCCAGCTCGTCGCCGTGCAGTCTGGCCAGGCTGAGGTTCAAGGCCGGCGCGGCTGGAGTCACGGCAGGCCCCGTGGCTTCCGTCACGGTACCGTCCGGCTTGGAAACACCCGTCGACGAGATCACCGTGGCCGTTGCAACGACGGCAGTGGTGTTGTTGTTGTTGCTGTTGCTGTTGCTAGTGTCGCCGCAATTGTTACGCAGGGTCTCCTCGCACTGTAACCACTTTTGTATCTGACGTCGATGAATCCCGTACTTTCTCGCGGTGGCCCGCTGATTGCCGCGACAGTCGATGTCGTTGCGATACGAATCGAGAACTTTCAACTTAAATGTCGGCGCGAATATTCGTCTGCTGCCCATCACTCCGACCGATTTCCTCGTGGCAGTCGTCGTACCGGCGGCTGCCGCCTGCGTCGACTGCGTCTGCTGGTGCACTGCCGCGGATTGATGTTGCCGCTGCGTTCGATGCACCATTTTCACCGAGTTCCCCTCACCGAGCACCTCGCTCGCACCATGAACCACAACGACGAATAACTTCGCGCACCAAACCCGACGAGCCGGGCTCTCCGTTTTTTCAACGTGACGTCGCCGACGTCCGTCCGTCACACGACAAACACCGCGGACGAGAGCGAAGGTAACAATGACGACGACGACGAGCTTCGAAACCGGGCACTGCCAACAACGCACGGGGGTACCTTAACGCGTAACATTGCACGAAGTGCTTGCCTGGCCGCGCGCGCACGGAGTTCCTTTTAGGTCTCTTGGTAGATGCCGTAACTAATTTTCATCCCTACCACCGGTCGAGGACTGCGGCTGCTTCCCACTGAGCGGTTCTCTTCCCTCGCCCCGCTACATGTACCCATCGTCCCCTCTCCTTTCCTCTCTCGCTCTTTATCGGTCTCTCCCTCTCCCGCCTAAACCTTTCCTCTCTCGTTCTCTATCGGTCTCTCCCTCTCGCGCCACGAAACGCGTCTCTCTCGCACGTACTAGAAGCCCTGCAACGCTTCGCGCGTCTCTCTTCGCCTCGGTCTCTCACCGTCGGTTTCCCCCTCCATGCCGCGCTCTTTCTCCCTCTCTCTCGCCGCCTTTCTCCTCGGTCTCTCCATCCAGCAAGCGCCCCTCAACACATACCCAACATCCCACTCGACCGGCATAGGCGCTAGAGTCCACCGCTGCCGACCACCAGTCATTCTTCTTTCTTTACGCCTAACCGACCTAACCTCCACCAACTACTAGCTCTTCTCTCTCTAAGTACGCTTCTCGTCATCCTGCCTGACTACCCGCACCCGTAGACGCCCACCCGCCCCTCCACCTCCCCCTCCTCCTCCTCCTCATCATCGTTCTCTGCCCCTCTCGCACACCTCCGCTTTCCCGCTCTCCCTCTTTCTCTCTTCCACCGTCTATCCCCCCACCCCTCCCCCGTCGCTGTTCCCTTTCACACCTCGGTGCCGTAAAACTCCGCCATTTTGTGTATTCACTTCCGTTAATGACGCGCGCGGGAAACGTCACGCCGGCGTGACGACGTTCTCGGAGCCATGTTGTCTGCCGCGCTCGTCTGACTGCCTGGCTGCCTAGCTGCTACCCGTTCTCTCTGGTTCTCGCCGTGGCAGCCAGCATGGAGCCTAGATTTTTGCTCGCCTTTCTCCTCGGCCAGCGCCGTGCCTTTTCTCGCCTTCTCGGCGTTCCGGCCGGCCGTATCGCTACGCAGAATTTTATCGCGATCTTCGATTCAGACTCGCCAACTGCGCCTGTCGTTACAGGCCGACGACGAGGTATCGTTAGGGAACGGGCTAGCCGGCTGCTCGGGTTACGATGTTTTCCCGTTCGCCGAGATTAGGCGCGTTATCTAGGTTAAATCGTTGAAGACCTACGTCAGGCTTCGCATACGGTATACGATTCTTGAAAGCCCGCCGTAGCCGACTGCCAACACCGGCACGACGGTCGTCTAAGAAGTTTTATTGGCATCTCGAATAAGGGTAATGGCCGAAAGAGACGGGGGATTTTACCTTTCGGGAGAAACGGTCTTCGGGGCCCATTGTCGGCTTTACTGGCCCCGGGGTAGCTTCGTTCGTTTAGGGTCGAAGTCGTCCCTATTGTAAGCCGGCCCGTGTAATACGATCTTGTATTGTCCTTGCTGGTAATTAGCAAGATGCCGCTGTCTTAACCGTTAGCGAGTCATCCGCTGGTCAATTATTCCCTTCGCTTTCCGCTAGCCACGTCTTATTTCGTTTTGCTCGTTGCCGCACTCCCGCGGTCCCTCCACCTGCGACCGGAGAAGTTATCAGCGGACGAAGTTTCCTGGCGTGCATGCGAATCGCAAATTTCTTGCATGTACGTCGTGGAATGAGATCATGTTGTTTTTGTGGCGTGAGCCGACAGTTAATATGTTTAGCTTTTCGCGCGGTTGCCATGTCGTTCGGCCGGCACGTAGGCCGCGGACGTGTGTGTACACGGACGTCGAGAGAGAGAGAGAGAGAGCCTGCGAGCAATGACGTAAACTTTGCGTTAGTATATACTTTGATGAGCACGAGCGAGAGCGAGAAAGAGGGGGCCAGATAGAGAGATAGAAAGAGAGAGAGAGATCGGTCGCGTGGAAAGAAACGCGCCGAGACCTCGTAAATTTCCACGATTCGCGCCACCAGCAGAAACGCGGAGGTCCCACTGATCCTTCTGCGGTTCCTCGAAGGAGCACCCTGCTGCTCTTCTCGGAATCTCAATGGCTATTCTCGTTTCGCCGATTACGTTGACTCCGAGGCCCCTTCCTCGGAGCCACGTCCGTAGAGAGACCAGCAAATATTGCGATCGGAGGTACCTGCCTCTCAGCACGATCCGACCTTCGCATAGTTCTACGGACGCGATTCATCGGTCAGGCATTTCGTGCGCCGATGTCGGAAGCGTCTCAGGTTTTTCCTGCGGACGATCTCCGATCCGGAGATCCGTGTCCCCGATGCTCTTTACTTGATCGCACAGCCTTGAATTATTTCACGAGCATTTCGGTGTGCCGCGACATCGTGGTGGTACACCGATTGGCTGTATCGCAGCGGCCATCGGGAATAATACCGGTACGAGAGAGGCATAATGCGTGGAAAGCGCCGCGGCGGTAGCAGACCGGCAGTCGCCTAAGTACGCCTCGACGGCTGGCACGTTCATCGGATTTGTCCTTGGGGCCGAAGGTAGGCGCAGCCCGAAGTCCGAGGACGTGGCAACGCAGCGACCAAGCTCCCCCTCCTTTGTCCGACGGCCGGTCTTGCCAGACAGGGTGTCGCCAGCTCGGTCGGCCGGGCCGTCGGGTTGCCGTCCGAGGGGACAGAAGGGAGGCGAAGAACCCGATGGTGTAAAGGGGCAAAGGGGGATTCACGTGGGCTGGTGTCTGTGCGACCGTGTGACGGAGCAGACATTAGGGGGAAAGAGCGCGGCTATGGGAGGGAATCGTACCGAGGCAGATTACAAAAGTGGAACCGAGAGAAACGAAAAAGAGAAAAAGAGACAGCGGGATCTCGTAGCCGGCCCGAGGCTGATAGTGTGCGTGTCATAGGATCGGTCGTGGACCTACATTCACGCGGGTAGCCATGTTTGAAAACTCGTGTCCCGCTGGAATGTAGCCTGCAGGGGCCCCTTCGTTGATTTCCCCTCCCTTCCCCGTCTCTCGCCCCCTTTCCTGACAGCCAGTGGTACACGCACGCGTCCACACATACACGCCACCCTACGCGATTCCCCGGCTCGCTGAACGATCCTCGGACGCCTACCTACGTCTCCGCTCTGGCCCCTCTTGGGGCCCCTGTTTTTCTCTCTTTCTACCACGCTTTGCCCTCCTATGGCTCTTTCCTTCTATCCGAGCCGGTGCTCCTCTCTTTGCTCCTCGCCGCTTCTCTGCGTTCCATGGCTTGGCGCCCCAAATGGTCGCGTAACCAGAGACGCGCCTCTGGCCTGGCCTGGCCTGGCTTGGCCTGGTCGCGCCAGACTTCTCGGCGCCCAAATGATGTACGCCGACTGTTCTCTCTCTCTCTTACTCCCTCCCTCTCTCTTTTCTCTCTTTCTCTTCGCTGCTCGCCCCGTGTCCCGGGTTCGTAGCCTTCGCTTTCCTTGCTCTCTTTTCACGTATGCTCGCGTGTGGGTACGCCATGTGAACAAGTCGGTGGATCGAGTCCGTTCTTGGGTGCGAGCGAGACAGAGTGCACCTACTATTTACCAATGCCTCGACTTGCGACACCTCACCTTTGAGTCCTGCGGCGTACTACTCGCTGGCCCTTACCTACCTTACTCGTGCGGTAAGAGCCACGTGAGAACAGGCAGTGTGAAAGAAAAGGGCGTCAGCGGTCCCGATTCGCGGCAAAAAGTGCGGTAGACGAAATCACTCGCTCTCTCTCTTACTCTTGCTCTCGTCGGCCATCCTTCTTCAACGCTAGCCTACTAGAGGCTCCCGCTCGTGTCGAAGCACGGCTACGAGACTCTTGGCAAAGACCAGACAAGCCGTCGCCTGCTATGCCTACTCTACGGGGACGATTGATCCTATCTTATTACTCCAGGCTGAAATTGTTCAGCCTTCCATGCAGTTTGCTTCTGTTGAATAAATACCGTAAGGCATTCTCCCCCCCTCTCTCTCTCCTTCTTTCTCTGTATCACAGAAAATATGCGTCGAAGATTCTTTTATCTCGGCTAATCACACTGTTCACACATACGTTCACACACATTCGTCGTTCTCTTTACCTCGTCGATACTCGCTCGTCACAAATACTGCTATCTCGGACCCGATCAAATTAGGATAGTTACCGCCTGTTGCTCGAAAGTTCCATCCTCGAAAATAACCTCATTCAGAGGACAACACCGCTCATTCACTCGCTGACAAATACGGCTACCTGTTGTAAAAAAAAATTGCCCGTTCATGATTTTCTTTTTCTATTTGAACGCGTAGCGCTCCTTAAAATCTCGGTCCCGACTTTATAACCTAAGTTTATTTACGTACACGCTAACTGGGAGAGCGCCACACGTGCACCAGCGCACGCATCTCTATCGATATGTGCGTTTCAGTTTCAGTGTTCGGATTGCACCAGCGTCTCTCTATCCTTGTGTGCACTTTCGAGTCTAGTCAGCATGCATGGACGCTAACGGGTTGGCGGGTTATCCAAATATCCTCTAACGGAATCGCCTTGGCTTTTGATCGGTCTCCCGGGATAGGCTAGGTCGGACGAGCGAGAGAAAGAAACGAAGATACAGACGTACGAATGAATTTTAACTACATCGCTGACAAAGGCACCGACATCCGGCGTAAAAACGTGAGCGTGTCTCATTAGAAAACCTCCGGTTCACCGGATTCAGGCGCGTAGTACAGTCAACGAAAAAAAGAAAAACAACTACACATACGCCCCCGTTGCCCCCCCTACTACCGATCGAAAAACTAAAAGGCGCCACCGGCGGCCATATTGGATCGCGGGTGCAAATTTTGTATGTCGCGAGTGGTTCGGGAACAATTTCGAAGTGAAACCGAAACGAAATTTCTTTTAACGAGTAAGATCTCCGACATTCGAAGGTAATGCTGGTTTTCGTATCTACCTATTTTCTTGAACTTTGCATGCCATAAATACCGGAGATCTGCACAGCCTAGCGATCTTTAACCCCAAACATACGACCGTAATACGATCCAATTCTTATCTTTGGTTGGTTCGTGTAGGTTTAGCGTCGAACAGTGAATAATTGGGTCAAAGAATCTGAAAAATGTGGACTCGCGAGGGTACGTTACCGGGGATTGGTTGTTAGCGCGGGCCGATCGAGCCGTGGCTTCGGAAAGGTCGATAGCGATCGATAAGCGACTTTCAGAAATCACGAGACACGCATAGAGGCCGGTGGGCAAAGTGTGAACAGTCTCGAGGAAAAGTCGGCGTGTGCGGATCGTTCTTTTATTTTTTTTTTTTAGTTTTCGCCGTGTACGTAGGTTAGGCGTCACAGTTGGTCGCATCGCTCGTTTGCCCACGTACACGAATACAGAAATATACCTTCTCCGTGGGCGGTCGCACGATGGCGCCTACTCGCTGCATACCTGCGCATACCTTCGTGATCGTGGTTAACCTCTTACCACGGAACTGGCTCGGCCTCACCGAAATATCGTGCGATTCGTGCGTGAACGTCTCCTGGACCCTTTTACGCTTTCTTTCCCTCGATGCCGGAACGGCTGAGAATACTGTAGGTGCGCGGGGGGGGTGGGGGTACAGAGGGGATGGTCGAAAGAGCGAGGGAGAGAGACAGAGCGAGAGAAAGAAACGAAAGAGAGGGGGGCGGAGGTGAAGAATCATGCGTGCGGAGGAAAGAAAGAAAAGCGAAGAGTAGGAGAACGTTATCGCGAAAGAAACAGTAGGAACGGAGAGCGAGCGTGGTTGCGTTCGCAAGGCGAAATGCAACAACGCCCACGTTCGCGTCTCCGCTCGAGCAGAAACATACACATGCTAACCTTTTTATCTTATCATTGGCGAAGGCGTATCGAGGTTGACGAGGTTGCCATACGCTCGCCTTTGGCACGACGGGGCGACGAAAAGACAACGGCCGACGAGCACACGTACGTAACCACTGTATTCTAGCATCCTTCCGCGATTCGTTTACGGGGAAAGCCTTGAATTCGAGCACGAAATCGTTACGGGTCTAGTTTCTGACCTCGCCGCCGCGCACCGCGGCCGCGATTCGCTTTATCGACCGAGCGGTAAAAAATTAAAGGGCGTCTAAATAGCCGCTGCATTATCCGCGGCTCGCTTTATCGACTTCTCTAATGCCCCGCTCCTTTTTATCAGCCACTTTTCCGGTAATTTCTTGCCCGATGCCGTGACTCATGCCAACCATGTCGATCCAGACGGAAAATGCACGCTTTTACATATTGCTTCGTGCCCGGTCGAATGAAAAGGGTGGACGGATCTTTTAGCAGAAAAATAATACAATTGTGACGAAACCCGATGCAATCCGGAATAAAGGGTGAGCGAATGCTTTAGGTCATAAATAATTTAGAGATTTAACAAAGATAGAACAAATGATTAAGTAATAGTTTTAGCGGTAGAGCTATTTGAAAGACTGAAATTATTCTACAAAGCAGAATAAACCGGTAAATGTATATACGATTGCAGAAACAATTTGGAAATGTTTTCAGCAGTAATGAAGTCATTAAGGTGACTCAATTCAAAGTTCAGGTTATCCAAAAGACGGAAAAGTGTCTCTGCGAAGAATTTATATTACTATATTTATATTATTAGAATTATTATTTATATTAGAATTTATATTACTATATCTACATTATTTATTTATATTATATTATTATATTATTATATTATTATAAATGATCTCTGTCGCGACCGATCGCTTCCCAAAGGTGTCCGTTAATAATCGTTGTGTCAATAACCGGGCACACGTGTGCGCACTTTGAAGCCATATTAAATCGCTTTACAAGTCAATGTCTTCGCAAGCAAATCGATCTCGATCTCCTCTCCCGTACCTCCTCCCGTTGTTTCCGCGGCCGATTTCCATTCACGTGCGCCTCTATCGTCGGATAAAAAAGTCAGCCGCACGAATTTCTCGCATTTTCTGCACGCGCAGCCTCGTCCAACGGAATTACCGTTTTACGTCATCCGACGTTTTTTCTCGAATATTTTGCTCCAATTAATTGCAGCCGACCGTTGCGAAATGATAAGCACGCGATAAACGGTAAATGCAAAATCGCCGCGGATCATTCTGCTAAATGGTATTTTCATTTCACCGCGAATTACGGAGCCCGGCTCTCGCGGCGAAATGAAACGCGGCCAAAGCGTAACTCGCTCGCGCTCGCCGCGTCTGAAAATGATTCAGTTGTTTCATTGCTATTGCAAAACGTCTTTCGACGAGCGTGCTTGAAAGTATTTATCGTCCAGATAACCGCTGCCTTCGAGGGTCGAGAGAAGTTAAGCTCGTTAAATTTCTTATCGATTAACACTAGCCTTTGAAACCTCGTTAAAGCACGATGACTGGTCATCGAGACGCACGATTTCGTTGTACCTCGACAGAAATGCATTGACTATTAAAAATTAGCCGGTTCGCGGTTATTATCGTTCCACGGCGGTATCTCGCGCAAACACGCGCGAACGTGTGTATACGCGCGCGCGCGCGTATATGCATGTACATGTACGTGTGTGTACATATCTATGCCTATGTTGCGCGTTCACTTTTTTTCCCCTGGATTGGCAGCTATCAAGAAAACGATCAACGATCTGCGTTAATTTTAAGACCGGCTTAAAACGTACACTCTCAGACGGTCGGACGCAACAGTCCCGTGCTATTTTTAAAACCGAGACGCTGCAATTATTTTTATCTAGAGTCAACTGACCAATCTCCAAACTGCAATTGTATCAAGTGATTCATATTAATACTTGCCGCAACAATAAATGTGCACACGTGCAACCTGAGCACGAGCGCGGATCAATTAATCACAAGTGTTAGACGACCCCGCGGTTGGCCGGCGACCAATCGTTTCTTTCGATTCCATCGTTCCTTGCTTCATAAAAACGGCGATCGACGATCAATCATTTTCAAGCTTCTAATAATATCTCCCTCGCGTTACCAACAGAATATTTTCGTTTCCTCTTTTCCAATTGCTCTTGTCCAATTCGCCGTCGCTCACTCGACAGCGGAAGAAAGCGAGTAACAGAGCTGATTCTTCTTCTATAATTTGCTGGCTGGACCGACGAAAAAGTTTAAAATGAAGATAATAAAAAATTTGAAGAACGAAGGACACCATGCTCGCCGCTGAAAATAGGAACGACGATAACATTATGATCTTTCCGGGTGCGGAGGGGACGGGTCACAGGGACGGACGGTGTTTGTCGAAATTGTTCGTTCAGTTTAATTGTTTAAACTTTCGCTTACATAAATAGAGTACGGATACATGTGATATTGATGCTTGTATACGTGTCTCCATCTCCATTTCAGTACCTACTACGGTCCAGTAATATATACACTTCGTTCGTTCGTTTTCCACCCTCGGCAGGCTGACTCTTCCCGAAAATCCAATTGTCGCACCAATACACGCGGTCAGGAACGATCGCCGAAGAAAGCCGAGCTTCGAGTTCGGGTGCCGTTTCGCTGCTTCAACGCTGTCGCCTCGCCTCGAATTCGTTCGAATCCGCGATTCACGGCCGAGAATACCGTGACGATTAATTTGCTCGCCGTAAAAAAGTCGGACGCCGTACGATCGGAGATCAAATTTAAAGAAAATATACTCGGCTAGGCGGAGCGTTAAAGCGAAACTGAAACCGCAAGAAAAATTGCCACTGTCTAACGTGATCTCGTTTCTCGCCATTGGTTCCACGCTCTGTACTTAGATTCCATTACAGATACCAAAACGTAAACAACTTCTCCGTCTCTCTCTGTCTCAAATATTGTGATTCGCAGTGAAAAATCAAAGTTGTTAGTCGCGCGTTAGAAAATGGCGGAACGTCGGTCCCGAGCAGCTGGCCCCCGTTAATTAACTATCTCGAATCGGCTCGCGTTCCCAGCTGTTCCAGCCGCTGATCGATAGTTTTGATCGGTCCGTGCGTCGAACGAAAGATCGAAGCATTGGTCGTGATTGAAAGAAGGCAAAACGGTTCGAAACGATGGATTAAAAAGCACCATTAACCACGAGAGATCGAAACAGCTTGCACGTCGCGAACGGGAGAAACGATTCTCCATCCCCTTTCGCTTGTTCTCTTGCTCTCTTTTATCCTATGCTTCCATGCTCCGCTTATTTCCTACCTTAAACGCTACGGTTGTATCGTTAGAGACGTTAGTGAAGCGTGAACCTTTAAATATCGCTAGTCTTGATACAGGTTACAAGTCGATTCCCGTGGATTAAAGAAACAAAAAGAAAAAAAAATAGAAAAAGAAAGAAAGAAAAGAAGGCGGCCAGGGCCGTGCCTCGTGGCCACGGAACGGGCCCGGCACTCCAATCCGTATTCCTTGCAACCCGATCAGAAGTAGCCCATCAGGGAGTAAGACAGTTAGCTGTGTCTAAGATGACCTTAAATAAAATGTGTACCTATTGCAACGCCAGGCCACCTGTTCCCCGATCGTTTTCTCGGAAAGTCTCGACGATCCACGGGATCGGGGAACAGCGTTCGCCCGGGCGACGATGCTCTCGAATCGATATGGTTTTTCTCTCTCCGAACCGAAACGGCGGATCCTCTCTGTATCTGCCGATAAACCTGAACACGGTCCGCTATTACCGAAAGGAAAGCGCATCTCCGTTCGAGAAACGCGGACCGTCGTTTCCGTGTCCTCGAGAAAACCGATCGGAAGTATTGCACGCAAGATCCCCACTATCATTCGTTCCCTTATGCGATCTATAAGATCCGAGTATGCACGATAAATATTATGTATAAAACGAGTGTGTGAAATGAATCAGACGTAAAATGCATAAAGTGTGTGTAGAGCACTGTCCAGTAACAAAATATCCTGAAGTCGTGTGTATGTATGTATGTATGTATGTATGTAGTTGCTTCTGTATGTTTGCTTCTCACCGGTCCACGAAATCGATCCTCACCGATTCCCGTTCGCCTGTCCGTATGCGTCGCGTATGCACTTGTGTATGGGCGTGTGTATGTGTGTGTGTACGTGTGGTTTAAACTAATTCCCCCGTCGACGAGACGTTGCACAAGCGGCACGCCTCGTGATACTCGTCACCCGCGACCAGTAATGTCGCATGTCCGCGTGAAATTATATTTAAAGTGTTCTATAATGAGTGCGGTCTTAATATCCATTCGATGAAAAGGTCTCATCGACAGCGTTGCACAATCGGCTCGTGACTTTCGCTATGCCGCGAGCCTTTCATCGCTCGAAGACAAAAGACCCGTCTCGAATCCGGCCGTTTGTTGTTCCGTTTTTCCCCCAGCGAAAATTATCCATCCGATTTCTCATCACCGCAATGATTTTCTCTAAACGTAGAAATGCGACGAGGCGCTCGCGACGAACCCGATCGAACGAGCGCACAAGAAGAACGGACGAACGCGGCGGCTCGCCTGAGCAAATCGACAAAACGCAGATGAAGTTGAGCAGAGCTCGGGTTTTGCTCAGGCGGGCGCGCCGGGGTTCTTCGGGTTCGTCGCGATCGATCCCGATTCACGGAGGTCCTCTCGATCCTACTCCGTCCCTCCCCACGAAGTCGAGCCCGATACGATTGGTCCTCAAGGCATCATCTTGCGGGGCGACAGCCACTTCTTCATGTAGTAGCAGAAGATCGTGGAGATGTAGATCAGGACCAGGAGGGCACAGGTCACGCCCAACACCAGCACCGAGGTCTTGGTCGGACAGGGCTCCACTATGGTCACCAATTTATCTGGAAAACGAACACGATTTTTCAGAGAACTGTCCTCCTTCGGTGCAGTATTCGCGAGCCAATTTTTGCCTGTGTAACCTTTCCTTCGCTAGAGAGAGATTCGCTTCGAGGATCCTCCAACGTTATCGTCTTCGTCAAAGTCTATCGATATAACATTTTCTACCAGGATTCGTGTCGTCCAGCAAACTTGCTGCAGTAATTTATCTCTAATCGACGCTCAGATTGTCCAGAAAAATGGACAATCTAGAGAGAGAAGATACGATTATTCGATCCTTGCGGTTCATATTTGTAGTCACGAATTGTCAACAACTATAAAAACGAGCTGCAAGGCTCGAATAATCGTATCTTAATAATAATATAATAATCGTAAATTTTCGGAATAGCCGGTGGCAAAGAAACGTGTCATCTTGGAAGCTACAATAATGTCTCCCTAAGTGACGCTCAGATTGTGCACAAAAATGGACAATTTGGGAATAGGAGATACGATTATTCGAGCCTTGCAGTTAGTTTTTATAGTTACCTATTGTCAACAATTATAAAAACTAAGTGCAGCGCTCGGACAATCGTATCTCCTCTTCTCAAATTGTCTATTTCTGTGGACAATCTGAGCGTCAGTTAGGGAGACATTACTGTAGCTTCCAAAATTATACGTTTCTTTGCCACCGGTTTTTCCGAAAATTTTCTATCACTTCAAATATTGCTCTTTTGCTACGGGTTTTATTTGAAGGATCCTTTATCCTGCACCACGTTTACTATCTCCGTCGAAGTCCACCGGTAGCAAAGTTTTAGCTAGGACACGTTTCGCCGATCAGACTCGTCATCTTCTAAAATGATACGTTTCCTTGCTATCAGACTGTCAGAAAATTGTTTTCCAGCGTTTCATCCAGGAAACGTATCGTTTTAGAGAATGCTTCCTCGCCACAGGATCCGTTTCGAGGACCCTCTGCCTTCGTGCACCACAATTACCGGCTTCGTTAATGTCTACAGCCAGCAAATTGTCGTCTAGGAAATTGTATCATACAGACAACGCGTCATTTTCGTAATTGACACGTTTCCCCTGCTCTGTCGCGTTGTTTTCGAGGATCCGGCTTTGCGAAAGGATTCGCCTCGCTTCAGACATCGGACATTGTTTACGACGATTACCTTCGTTGAAGTCTATGCTGGCGTCGCTCTTCAGGGACTCCGACTGCTTATTGTCTCCGAAGTCGAGGACCAGGATCTCCTGGGACAACGTCATGTCCTCGGCCTTCTCCTCCGTCGTGTTCGCGAGACTCCTTCGGCGTCTCTTGCCCCAGGACTCGACCGATTCGCGTCCCCATTCGCAGACAGCCTGCAACCAATCGGTTCCCATTGTTCGCCGTCTCTTTTAGAACCTTATCGATCGCTTGCGATCTGCTTTAATTACCGGCTCGCAAGGTCCCAGACAGTACTTCACGTTGCATTGGAAGATCACGCCGTAGGACTCGGTGAATCTGAACGCCTCGTAGATGGACTGCAGGGCGTTCCCGTCCGTGGTGAAGCTCGGGAAGATCGACGGATCCACTGGGCATCTGGAATGATCCCAAAGATCTTGCTTCGGTTACTGATTCGTTGAAATTCGTCAGGGAGGCGAACTTTTGTCGCGACTCGCAGTTGTCGGAGATGTTAAAACAAGAGGCAAAGAGGGTTAGTACTTTGAGGATTGGGGGGAGGTTTTGTTGCTTACGCTTCCCCGTTTTATGGGGAATGGAATTCGAATGTTTTTCTATCGTCTACCTTGTGCCCGGTGGTCACAAACACTTTGGTACACGTAAATGAGGAAGAGAACCGAACGCGGGAGCTGCCAAAGTGTCAAGAGACAAAGGAGCCAGTGCAAAGGGTGGTCTGTTGTTCAGCGAGCATCCGCGTTAATTAGCGTATCGTGAAAAAACTGACCCTTCGTCGTCGATGATCTGGAAGGTGCTCTTCGAGTCTTTGGCCATGGCGACGCAGCTGCGAGCGAAGATGCCATACGGAGCTGTATAAGGAGACGTTTAATTGATCACGTGTCTTCTATGATCGATCAGTTTCTCGGAACAAAATAAAAAAAAACGACAGAGAAAGAGAGAAGTGGGGAACTCACTGTCTTCCGGGATTTCGATTCTGAAGGTGAGCTTGTCTCCGATGCGTACAGTCTCGACCTCCCTGGACCTGCTGTCGAGGATGCGGATCCTTGGAGGAGGGGCCTCCGGCGCGCTGGTGATGCTGATCATTTCCGGATCCCTGATAGGCATCATCCCAAAGGTGATGTTCTTCGAGGACATGTCGTAGGTGCACTTCACCTTGTATATCTTATCGGCCTTGGTCATCACGACGGAATGATGCTGAAGGACGACCGTGTTCGAGTAGACGCCAGTCTGAAAACCGTCACGCTGCCGTGGTGAGCAGAGAGATTTTGAACAGAGTTTAAGGGTTCGTGCGGTGTGCGGGCAGCGACGCTATCGTGCGAACTAATTGTGCAATCGGGAGCTTACCACGCTTTGTGTGTTGCAGTCCTGGCCGCTCATGGTCAGGTCTAGCCGGAACAGATCGCTGTTTATCACGTCGATGTTGCACGTCTCCGATCGTCCCAATGCGTAGATGCGACCGTTAAACGGCTTGTTCGTGCGGACCTGCACCGCGATCCGCGTGTCCTTGCAGTCCACGGACACTGCAAGTTGCCACACGTTTGTACCGCTAATTAAAATTCTAGACCCGTAGGTACGTACCATCGTAGCAGGTGCCGGTCTTGTCGCAGTTTATGTCGTTTCTCGTGAGGTTGTTGATCGTTGGGTCTTCCGTGGTCTCGAACACGACGGGAAGCGGATCGGCAACTGGTCCAGCACCCTCTGCGAGCGATCGATTTTGTTGCAAACATTACGGAAATCATTGCAAGAGTTCTCTTAACGTTCGAGTCCCAAGCAGCGCGATCGCGCTGTTCAGATCTTGTGTCGCGATCGAACTTTATAGCGACGCGCATACTTTTTTCTTTTCGTTTTGTTTGTCAATCTTGACGAGAGCGATCGCGTCGTTTGGTTCTCTTCGCAATCAATTAAGACAAGCGCTATCACGCTGTGTTCGCCACTTCTCGACCGTGTTTTCTGAATAACCCTTGGGACTCAAACGGTTAAGGGGACTTGGATTAGCTAGATATACTGAAAAGTTCAAGACGTGCTCATAAGGCTCGCTTTATAAGACCCTAATTATTATAGGTTTTATGATCTGGAAGTTAGACCGATCGGCTTCCAGACCAGGAATAAACGACGAAATAAAGACAGCTATTTCCAAGATTGAATCCTCATCAGAGTTATTGTTGCAAAAATTACAGAAATCATTGCAGGAGTTTTCTTATGGGGACTTGAATTAGGAGATCTTCTCAAGAGATCAATATGTGCTCATAAGGCTTGCTTTAGAAGACCTAATTATCATAGGTTTTATGATCCGGGAGTTAGACGATCGGCTTCCAGACCAGGAATAAACGACGTAACAAGGACAGCTGTTTCCAAGATTGAATCCTCATCAGAGTTATTGTTGCAAAAATTACAGAAATCATTGCAAGAGTTCTCTTAAAGGGACTTGGATTAGATCTTCTCAAGAGATCAATACGTGCTCATAAGGCTCGCTTTAGAAGACCCAATTAATCGAGGTTTTATGATCCGGGAGTTAGAGCAATCGGCTTCCAGACCAGGAATAAACGACGTAACAAGAACAGCTGTTTCCAAGATCGAATCTTCATTAGTTCTTTCTCTACTAAATGATCAACGATTGCACTCACTCTCGCAGTTGTTCTCGAAATAGGTGCCAACCCTCTCCCCGTTATCGATCAGAGGCCTCTCCGAGTTGAGATACGTGGACGGGCCATCGGGCAGAGTCCAATGGTCCAGGTGGAACAGCTGGCAGTTGTAAGCCGATCCCTGTGGGGCACCCCGATAGAGGAACGATCTGCAGAGGAACTCGTTCTCGATTTCGCAGGACAATCTGCACGCGGACTCGCTTTGGACCTGAAGCTCCTTGTCGATGTAATAGTGCAGGCCCGCGTATTGCGCGACCTTCTCTTCCGCCACGCCGACCCTGGGCAGTTGGAAGGTCCTCTGCGATTTGCAGGCCTCCTTTCCTGAAATTCGCGAGCAACTCGTCTGAAGGACGCTGGCACCGAAAATAAATTATCGCGGTTCTTTCACCCGGTGACATCGAGAGAAGATCTTTTCTTTCTTATCGCGCCGCGCGATTCTCGAAGCAGCGTAACTTCGGCACGTTTCGCCGTAAAGTCAAGGCGAATGGAGACGTCTAAGACGCTCGGCTTAATTCGTTTCGAATACGCTATCGATCTGGATCCGTGTTCCGCGAGAGCCGGTTGCTCGGCCTAAGCTAAGAATGATTACCTTTCAGACAGAGGTTCTCAAAATAGTCGACCCCCTGTGCATCCACGAACTGCACGTACTGGCCGGTGGTTCGCCGATCGGAGTCGCTCAGGTGGCACTGCAACGACATGTAATTGTACTCGACAGACCGGCAGGTGAATCGGTGCTCGTTCAGGCAGGCTGCGAGACAGGCCTCCTTCGTCGACGTGTAGATCAACGCGTTGTCCAAGCCGCGGATCATCTTGTTGGGCACCCGCTCGAAGGACCACGGCCGCAGGCATACGTTCTCTGAAATTGATCGACGAGGGCTCTCATTAAAAACGGAGACTCTCTCTCTCTCGTCTTTGGCGAACAAGGCGACGAGAGGATCGCGACGATCGAGTCGTTGTTTCGAGTCGTCGTTCGGTTGGGCCAGGCTGTTTATAGTTTGATGACGCGCGAAACGAGTTTGTTTACCGATTGGCAGGACACGTGGACACGCCTGACCGCAGACGCGACGCTCTCGCACACCTGACGAGGCTCGCACACCTCACGAGACACAGGGTATGCATACCGCGCGCGTTGCGTAACCGGCAACGATTTATGCAATAGAAATTTCAGACGCCAGTCCTCGCTCTGCGCCCGAGGAAACCCGATGCTAGAGACAATCCTGGCCGATTTGGCTCCGATTCGGTAAACACGTTTCAACCCCCCTTTCAACCCCTCCCTCCTCGGGGTATAAATCGAGCTTTGACATTTCCGTCCGCGAGGAGAGACCAACTTCACGGTTTCGTGGGCGGTCGGGATCCATTTGGATCCTTCGCAAGCTTCTTTGCACGAGGTGCATTGACATTCTAGCTATCAAGGACTTCAGCCGAGCAAAGTCAATGTGTCTGGTCGTCGGTCCGACTGTACTAGCGCTGGTAAAAAGTATTCGAACACGTTGCAAAGCGCGATTATATTTTTCAAACTGATCTGACTGACTTGGATTTTCATTTGAAATTTTCAATTTTCGTTCCTTCGTTTCCAGTTTCTGATAAGAAAGCTAGTGAACGAGAGCTTTTGATAGTTTCGATTGTTCCAAGTATCGGCGAAATTAAAGCAAAGTATTTCAGTCGTTGCACGATAAAATAGAACCTTCAATATTTATAAAAAATTAAAGTGATTTAGTCTAGGTTTAACAAAATTATTGCGAAAATTTTTCATTTTCGTTCCAGGGTTAATTAATCTGATAAGAAAGCTAATGAACGAGAGCTTTTGATAGTTTCGATTGTTCCAAGTATCGGCGAAATTAAAGCAAAGTATTTCAGTCGTTGCACGATAAAATAGAACCTTCAATATTTATAAAAAATTAAAGTGATTTAGTCTAGGTTTAACAAAATGATTGCGATTTAGAAGGAGTTCGGATACTTTTTGCCAGGGGTTGTATATCAAAAAAGCCATGATTCGAGCCGTGATTGATTCTATACTACGGAACAAGAGGTTTTATCGACTCTCGCTGTAACAAAAATTGATTCAAAAGCGTGAAAACATTTTTCACATCCTCTCTCTGCAAAAGTCAGCCTTTCAACACTCCGACTGCCGCGTCGCTCGTATTATAGTCGCTCAGAGGATTATTTTATTGGGTTCCCCAAGATGTAAAAATCTCGAAAAAGAAATCGATGTCGCACATTCGGACCCTTAAATCTTAACTCATTCGAACAAAGTATTTGCTTCTAATACAAGAGAAGTGTAACATCAAGTTTTTGAAGTACTTGTGGCAGTCAAAGTCGCTCGAAAGTCGAACCAGAGACTTATATCGTTCATCGATCTTTCGCTCGATCTGATTAGCAAATCGGTGTCTCGGAACTGACAAATGGCAGGCAGTCTGTCTTCGGTTCCCGGAATAACTATGGCTGTTTGCATCGACAGTAGCGGGAAGCGGGGGGGAGCAGGGGGAAGGCGTTCTGCAGGGATCCCGCAGCGATCGAGAAACGGTTACGCGTCCGTCGGATCCGCGGAAGTGTGGCGAATTTCGCGGTTGGTCGATCGCAGGCAGCCAACCTGCGGGACCCGGCGATGTTTCGCGCGGGGGTGGAGGGTGGCAGAGGGTGCCCAATGCCAAAATCGTGCGCAACATGTGACTTGGCAACCCTCTCGGACCGCGCGTTCTCGCCTCGTCGGTGACGCACGAGCCTCGGTGCACTCTGCCAGGGAAACCGGCGATATAGCGTTTCGGCAAGGGTGTCGGCGGGGCGCAGGAGGGTGTCCGGTGCAGCGGCGCGCTCCAATTTCTTTTGTTCCGCCCTCGAAACCGGCGCTAATGTCGTGCCGGTGCCAATGAACGGACGCGTGACTCCGGCACGGATGATTCACCGCGGCCGCGCGAATTCCTGATCGCGGCCGACAGATTGACGACCACCGAAATATCCCTCCGATACAATCGCCGCATCGGAGAGACGATCGTCTTCGAGACGATCGTTCCACGGGACCCGGAGAAACAGCGCCGCGCGTCCTCGGGCAAAGATCGCCCGGTTCCGCGCCTCTTGGCGCTGACTTCTGCGGCACCCATCCCTCCGTCTCGCTGGCAGCGAGCGAGCTAGCTAGCGCTTCGACAGAAAGAATTCGGTAATGATTCCGTTATTTAGCCGGATTCCAGACAGCCGAGCTCCTAAATATCGTTTCGGCGGTCTCCGCGGGCAAGCTCGCAGTCTGTAAAAATAAATCGCCAGGTTGTTTCTGCGAGAGGGACTATTTTTGGACGTCCTGTGGAACCGCGCCGGCCCCGGTCAGGATACTCTTTCTCTCTAGACGACAAGGGTACTTTCGTTTCGCATATACGCTCTGGAAATACATTCTCATCCGCGGATCCTTTGCGACACTCTCTTGGCTATACGGCCCGTCTGACTCACGGGAATGCATCATCGTGCCGCTTTATTTCTCGAATTAAACGTCGTCGGGGGACGAACGTGTTACGTAAATTTCGCGCGGGCCAACTGACCGAACGTTATAGACTGCGCGTAGCTGATCGACGACGCGAATTCTTGACGAGCCGAGGGACCACGATGACGGAGAGGCTCGGCACTTCTCTCGAGCCGCAAGTTATTTTTAGGGAACAACGAGTTTCGAGCGGAAGTCGGACCTTTGTCTGCTGTCTCTCGAAGATCTCCCACGGAGATCGATGCAAATTAAACAGACGGAGTCGGACCCGCCTGTGTGCGAAATCGCGCGCTTTGTTGGAGACAGAGCTTGAAATTTAGCGAAGCAGTTTCGTTTCGTACGGATTTCAACGATCGCTCGCCCAATTACTGCAGAACTCCGATTATAAGAAAATGAGGACGATAGAAGGACTATCTGTTTGTAAAATCGCGCGCTTTGTTAGAGACAGAGCTTGAAATTGACTGGAGCCAGTTTCGTTTCGTACGGATTTCAACGATCGCTTGCCCAATTACTGCAGAACTCCGATTATAAGAAAATGAGGACGATAGAACGACTATTTCTGTGCAAAATCGCGCGCTTTGTTGGAGACAGAGCTTGAAATTTACCGAAACAGTTTCGCCTAATTTCAACGATCGCTTGCCCAATTACTGCAGAACTCCGATTATAAGAAAATGAGGACGATAGAAGGACTATTTCTGTGCAAAATCGCGCGCTTTGTTGGAGACAGAGCTTGAAATTTACCGAAACAGTTTCGCCTAATTTCAACGATCGCTTGCCCAATTACTGCAGAACTCCGATTATAAGAAAATGAGGACGATAGAACGACTATTTCTGTGCAAAATCGCGCGCTTTGTTGGAGACAGAGCTTGAAATTTACCGAAACAGTTTCGCCTAATTTCAACGATCGCTTGCCCAATTACTGCAGAACTCCGATTATAAGAAAATGAGGACGATAGAACGACTATTTCTGTGTAAAATCTGTCTCTTATACACATCTAGATGTGTATAAGAGACAGCTTACTGCAGAACTCCGATTATAAGAAAATGAGGACGATAGAACGACTATTTCTGTGTAAAATCGCGCGCTTTGTTGGAGACAGAGCTTGAAATTTGCTGGAGCCAGTTTCGTTTCGTACAGATTTCAACGATCGCTTGCCCAATTACTGCAGAACTTCGTTTATTAGAAAACGACAACGATAGAACGACTATTTGTGTGCAAAATCGCGCGCTTTATTGGAGACAGAGCTTGAAATTTACCGAAATAATTTCGTTTAATTTCAACGATCGCTTGCCCAATTACTGCAGAACTCCGATTACAAGAAAACGACGACGATAGAGCAACTATTTATATGCAAAATCGCGCGCTTTGACAGAAACAGAGCTTGAAATTTACCGAAGCAGTTTCGTTTCTTACAGATTTCAACGATCGCTTGCCCAATTACAGCAGAACTCCGATCACAAGAAACGATAAAATCGTTTTAAACCGATTACAAGACGATAGAACAACTATTTTGTCGCGATTCTAGATTTAGTCTCTGCTAATTTGTACGGTAATTTGTGTTCCGTGTGGATCGCTTTCGATTTTCACTTGTTACACGTGAACCGTGTTTGGCAGAATATTCCGACGTCGAAGGTTTGGACAATTAAGGTAATTTCAAGGGTTGTTGCAGGGGTGGCAGAGAACATTAGCTGAAGGAGAGCAGTATATACCTGAGGTGTCATTAACGCTATCGCTTGTCTACACCACCTAAAAATAGAAATCTTATGGATGCACAAGGGGGTGCGTCGTGTTTACGGGTGAAATTCAAGTGCCGGCTGCAGGCGAAAGTATTTCTATCGCGACTGCAGGCATACCGAACGTGGTACGAATGGTACGAATGGTACGTATTCATTTTAGTAGGATTGTTTGTGTAGCTCAAATTTCGGAACGGGTCTAGACCTGGAAAGGTTATTGATCTCGAAAGAAAAAGCCAAACGAAAAGTCGGGCAGAGCCGACAAATATTTCAATTGATTGTAATGCACGTGTATCCGTGTACAATAAGGGGCGACACTGGCAATGTAATGTAATTAGAAACGTTTTAACATCTTGAAATGCCTCAAATGCGTTTACAACCTTGAAGTGTTCCCAGGCGGAAGCCGTCTCTAAGGTCCTACAGGCTTATTATCCTAAGTCGTTGCTGGGCTCGTTGTCGAGCTCGAGAAGGCGCCTGTACAGGTAATATATGGGAACCTTTCCCGAAAATCCTTCGCGGCGCTTTCAGTACGAGGGCGTCGCTGGGTCTCCCTTCTCTTTAGACCGCTGAAGTCGGTGTCCCGGAGCGGGCCCCATTGGCCGCGTCGGTTTTACGACCGAGGCCCGGAGCGAGCTTTCGAGAATTCCACGTACCAGCAGGCTCGTTAAACCAATATTAGGGGTTTCTTAGACCTCCCCGGGTACTTTTCGACACCAAAGGACTTCTTTTCTGCAGGTACCAATTTACGCCGGCAACCGTGCTTAAAGCATCCTTCACGCGATCCGAAACGGCACCAGCAGATGCGGCATTGTTCGGGACCGGAAGGGATGCCTCCCTGGCAAATTTGTAGAGTCTCTGCATTACGACCGTACGGAACGTCTGGCAACTACTCCCACCCCAGTGCGTTCGTACGGGACTCTCGGACTCGAGACAAAATCGCATTTTGTCCGCAATTACCTGGGGACGGCAGGGTATCTTCAATTTGATGGGATTTCAGGGATAAGTCCGTGCAATTGTTATTTGGAGGGCCGTCCGTTCGGACGCACCTTCTTAAGGCTGTTTTATGGGCAGGTAGTTTTACCTTGCTCTAGGTAAGGTCTTACCTTGTCGGCAAGATCTTTCTGCAATTACTTACCTACTTTACGTACTTTCCTTCCTCAAATTGAAGGGACCGGCCAGACTGATTTGTTCACTAGCTAAGACTACTTTAGGCAAATGTACTTCTTTGCTAAACGTTCTTCCGTGATCTTAATGCAGATTTTATGTCTTTGAATCTCGTGAAATATTAGGCAAATCGAAAAGTAATTAGAATTTTCGTTGTTGGCGAAACACATTTATTTATTAAAGAAATCCTACACTATAATCAACAGAATAATTTCCATCATTTTTTAACACCTTTTGCCAGCGTATAGGCGGTTGTTCGATTCCTTTTTTTTTTGAAAAAAGTTTGCATTGAAAAACTTTTAGTTTTTAAGTTAGTTCTCGCTTCTTCAACATTATTAAAGTTTTTACCTTTTAATGTATGCTCTAACGATCTGAGAAGGTGGTAATCCGACGATGCGAGATCTGGTGAACATAACATTATTCGCATAACCTTATTTATTACTTTAATAAATAAAAGTTTTTCGCCAACGAAAAAATATTTTGATTACTTTTCGGTTTACTTAATACTTTTGTAAATTGAATTGTGAGAAAAGTCTCTTCTTATCAGATTATCTGATAATATTTTACGGCCAAATACTCTTTCGACATTTTAATTTAGATATTTGTGAATTTTACCTGACGATTGATCGCTGGTTTACAAGCCATAATCTAATTATAATTTTGTTTATTCGTGAAACAGCAGTTTAATCCAGGTAATAACGCCGGCTCCCCATGAAGGTTTCTCATAAAAACCGCGCGGCATGTAAAGCGTTCATAAAGACCGTCGGGAATAATTTAAATTTAAATTTAAGTCGTTAACGTTCGTAACAAAAGTGTAGATTTTGATTTTTATTTGAAGGAAGCGCATAACAGGATATGCCTGCGCGTATCCTATATACCATAAAAATATTGAATGGTTTTTTTTAACACCCTATACACGTGCAAAGAATAGTGCTCGGAAACTTTATACCGAAACTGGCTCGTTGTTACGGTGAAAACAGAGATCAACACCCCCTATCACTATACTTCGAATTGCCATTTAATTTCCCATTTCCCTAAATGACATCTCAAAAATTGACAGATCTCAGAGATCAGAGATCTAGAGATTAGAGTAACAGATTAGACTAGCAGAAAAACTGCGGCAATTCCTCGGGGCCCAGGTTTCATTTTGCAACGCGCTAGCCTGGCAGCCTCTCGACCACGTAGGCGGGAGGTCCGAGGGACCGCGGGAGGAAAATCGAGTGTGTTTGCAGGCGATGATCGCGCCGGGTCGCGAGGCGGTCAAACAAGCCTGCACACGGCTACCGGCTTCTTCAGTTTATTTGCACATCTACCTGCTCCCGGACGACTTCGCCACTGGCATCTAAACCTGGATTATCGCACCTTTCCGGTCCAGGCTCCGTTCCTCGGGCTTTCTCGCTTATTTTCTGGATTTCTCTTTCACCTGTCCCACCGACCCGTTGTCCTTCCCTCTCCGCCTTTTGTTCCCGAACCACCCTCGAGAGGGTCGCCAGGGGGGAAAAAAGGGCGCCCGAAGAGCGTGCAAAAACGAGGTCGTGCTGGTGGCGCGATTATTCCCGGCCCGACCGGGATCTTCCGGACAGGTGCGCCCGGAGATCGTATCCGCAAAACTTAAGGAGGCGCCGTTTCCTTACCCGATCGAATCTGCAGCTTCGTCATGTAGTACATGTTCGCCGCTCGTTGCGATTGCGCCGTCGGATTCGTCGCCGACGTCTCGTTCTGCAACTGGCACAGGGTGTCCTGCATCGGCGCTAAAGGGTTCACCACGAACGAGAACGCCGCCGCCTGGCATTCCGCCTCCTCTCTACACCAGCTCTGACACTCGTACAGCGACAGATTACGCACGCTGTAGTATGTTGTTCCACGGTAGTCGTAGTCCGTCAGCTTCTCGAACGCTGTGCGAGCTGCAACACGTGAAACAGAGGCTCCTTTCAGCGTGATCGGAGAGCCGGGACCGCTGAACTCGAGGGAGCTCGATTGTTGATTCGCGTTTAGTAGATAGAAGCGTCTTCTAGATTCAAGATACAGCGAATTCTCTCGAATTTTCCTTTCAGCTTGCAAACAGAAATGGACAATTTTGGAAGACGAGATACGATTGTTCGAGATTTGCGGCTCGATTTTTATAGGCATTGACAATCGGCAACTATAAAAACAAGGCGAAAACTAGGTTGTCGTTTCGCGTTTAGTCGATAGAAGCGTCTTCTAGATTCAAGATACAGTGAATTCTCTCGAATTTTCCTTTCAGCTTGCAAACAAAAATGGACAATTTCGAAAGAGGAGATACGATTAATCGAGCCTTGCGGCTCGATTTTTATAGGCATTGACAATCGGCAACTATAAAAACGAGGCGCATAGCTCATATAATTGTATTCCCTTTTTCTAAATTGTCCATTTTTCACAAACTGGGCGTCGATTAGAGTGAATTTAGAGTGAATTTACTGCGCGAGGAAAACGAGCCGCGGACAGTTCCTCGTTCGCTTAAGAAAATCATAGCTTCGTTAGTATCGCGGATATCGTGGTGCAACCAAATGCATCTTCCAAACAACACACCAAAGCGTGATTAAAAAAAATACCGTCCGCAGCCGCGCGATTTTTTACATCGTTTCGAGCAACATTCTGGTCAAGCTCGATGGTTTCTGAAGGTAAATGCGACGATGCGTCGCGAACGGTGAATCGATGCTTATTTATGAAGAGGCAACGCGGCGAATATATACAACCATCGCGTAACCGGACGTCCGATTTCCCCGCGGTTTCGACGCCCTTTGCGGAGATACTCACCCAGAGCAGCATGAGAGACCGCGACGAAGGTCAGGAGCGTCACGCTCGCGGCCATTCTCGCCATCGTGCCGATCGCGGACGAGCCCATCTGTAACAGAAACCGATCGGTTACAAGTTTAATTAGACTTGACCCATCGCCTCTCTCTCTCTCTCTCTCTCTCTCTCTCTCACTCTTTCTCGCTCTTTAGTTGTCCAACGCACGCTTAATTCTTATGCGAGCTTAATGAATTCCGCGCGCACGCACGCTTAACGCGCGCGCGTAACCGGGACGAGTAATGAAACACGTTCGCGCATCTAAAACGGTTTTTCAACCGGAATTCCGCGCGTGGTGCGAACACGCTGTTCCCTGCCCGACAATGGAAAGTAGCCTGAGGGCATGCACACGTAGTACTCGTGTTCCCTCGAACACGCATCTCCGTAGAAAATTTCGTAAAACTTGTGTGTACGCTCATAGAATTAGAACAGAATTACTTTTGTACAGTTCTTCCACATCTGCGCTTGTTTACGCTGCTCTCGTTTTTATACTCCGAATCAACAAGTTTCTGCGCATCGCTTCTATCGGGTTTCTTTCATGAGTTACTTGCTATCTGAATTTGGAACACTTCTCGGCGAAGCAGGTGCGGAAATGAGTAAGGAATATCGATGTTGTACTTCGTCGTATTTTGATCTGTTTTGTCCATCTTGACGACGTATTTTTGCCTACAATACGAAAGGATAAATTGTGGGCACCTTCGTATAGCACTGCAAACCTAATTGCACGATAAGAAAATTGTGAAAACCTTTAACACGATAAGAAAATTGCGAAAACCTTTGTACAATACTGTACTTCTACAGCACTGAATAATATGATTTATGTTTAACATATTTAAAAACTGAATTACCTTAGAATAACGAAGGGGAAGGAATAATGAACGATAAGAGAGAGTGCCTCTACATGAAAATATAATTATTATAATTGAGGGTATATGAATATATACCCTTCCGCTGTGAAAGAAGCCGGAAATTCAAAAGGGAGATGTAAAATTGTCTATCTTTATACCATGAAATGTACAATGACCTTGTAAGAACCAGCAAACAAACCAAAATTACAGATTAAGGTGCATAACAAATCTGAATGAAGAAGAAGGTTCAGAAAGCGAAGGTGATATCGTTCAACCGAAAAAATATCCTCGTTTGATTCTACCGTGACGAGGTAGAAATTTATTAAATTAAAGGTAGTGACGAGGAAGAAATTTATTAAATTAAAGTTACATTAAATGAAAATATATTTTGTCTTTCTTTTTCGTTTTGATGTTATACATGCATTTATATTTTTAACAACAGTTAAGTTGCTTATTCTAATTTATAGTTTTCGATGCGTACCCTTCCCCCTCCCATTTTTGTATTGAATCTGGGTCTCATATAATACGATTTCACAAAATAACGGCATTTTCTAGGAACCTATTTTATGAAACATATCTCCCATAACTCGCGTTATGTGAGAGTTACCTGTACAAGTCTCACCCGTAATGGAGATTTCTGCTAATAAACCCTTAGATGTATCGCGCAGATCGCAACTGTGACTTTTTGAATCTCATATTCTTCTCTCATTCGCAGAATAACCAAAGAAGAGACGCAAATCGACGCATCGGAAAGATCGCGTGAATCCAGCCACGGTGACTGCGAAAATCGCGAAGAAGCTGCGAGAACCAGAAACGATTCTTCACTCTTCTCTAAGGTAGAATTCTTCGCAAATTATCGAACAAAAAGCTAGTCTGTTACGTGAAGTAATTTCCTTCCATTTTGCCGGATCGTTGGTCGTTCGATCGAGCGGTCGTTCAAGAAGCCGATCTGCCTAAGCAAAGAGGAAGTCGCGGAAGGGGTTCAAGCTAGCTGCTCGAGTAATTCGCAGCCGTGCGAGCTAAGAGCGGAGAGCACGCAAGTCACCGGCTCTCTTCCCTCGCTTGTTTTGCTCGTGTTTCACTAGCAAACCGCTTCCTGGATTTCTTCGTTTTCTCGTTTCTTGCGGCCTTTCCGCAGCTGCCCCTCCACCTCCTCGCTGCCCGCGGGCATCCCGCGAACGAAACGTATTTACGATCGATCGCATCCTCTTTCCTCGCCGTCCGCGTTTTTCCCCGCGGAACGATTGAGCGATTCATCGCGTCGCCTCGCGTCGCGTCGTCGGACGGCCGTGTAAGGATCGGTATTTCGCAGCTTCCTCGCCTAACTTTCGCCTCAACGACCGGAATTTCTCTTCGCGGACAGCGTACGCTCGTTATCCCTACCGATCCGCTTCGATCCCCGTCGCTCGCCGATCGCAATTCCTTTGGTTCGCTTCCGCTGGTCGCGGAGGCGCAAGTGTGAACACCGTCTACGACCTTTGATTCATTCTCACGGACTTCCGGTCTAACGTCCTCGCCGCCGCGGGTCGCCGAAGGACGCCTTCCGCCGGCTAACGACCTTCCTCGAATCGTCTAAGTCACTGGAACACGCTGCTGCTCGACGTCTCGCAGTTGTTCTCGGACAATCGTGTCCAAGTACAAGTTTTCCCGCCGATTCGCAAGTCTCAATGGCAGTTTTTCAGGCGAGACTCGGTGTCGTCGTATTCCCAGTAATCGAAGGAAAGTCGCTGGCGGGTAGCTGAAGCAAAATACAGGGTGTTCCAAAAATGTCTCGCAATCCGGAAATGGCGGGTTCCTTAGGTCATTTGAAGCAGCTTCTTCCTTTACAAAAATGTTCTCCGAGGCACCGTTAACGAGTTATCAACGAAAAACAGTGACCAATAAGAATCGAGTACGGCTGACGCGAGGCGGCCCAGCGCACGAAGCCCAGTTCCGCTCATTGGCTCGGTCGCCTCGCGCCAGCCGAGCTCGCCTCTCATTGGTCACTGTTTTTCGTTAATAACTCGTTGACGGTGCGTCGGAGAAAATTTTTGTAAAGGAAAAAGTTTTTTTTGGGACATCCTGTAGACGTCGCCGGGGCAAACAAATTACAAACGGCTCGAAGGTATTCTCGAACGTGTTCGCGGGGACACAATGAAGGAGAAGCGGCCCACAGGTGTACCCTCAGTCCCCCGGGTGAGATCTCGCATCGTCGGCATCGGGAGAAACATTCCTGGACCTCGTACACGTTCCGGGTCGCGCCGCGGAGCTCTTCGGTAATTGCGGCGGCACGTAAATGACGCGAGATTGCTCGCCGGAAATTAACGTAATGCAATAACGGCGCGGCCGGGCCTCCGTAGGTTGGCATTTCGTGGCCACGAGGATGGTTCGAGGTCAGCGAGCCTGGGATAACCGTGTAACAGCGGAGGAGAGCTTTGTCGTGGCTCGCACAGCCGGGGTCAAAGGTTCAGCCTGCGCCTCGTTCGCGTCTCTCCCTACGCCCCTCGCACGCCTCCCGCGACCTATTGCCGTCGGTCTCTCGAACGAGGTTCGGGTCGCCAGGCTATGAAGACGTCTTCGAATTGCCTGCCTGGCGTGACCAAATTGCACTCGGGCATTCCTACTTCGGCTCGCTTCGAATTATACCTGCGACCGTGCACCTTCGTGGAACCCGGACGATGATCATTGCCGTGTCCTTCGGACTGCTGGCCGTGATGACCGAATTTCGCTTTTGCCGTTTTATGATCGAGACGTCTCCGACGCCTCCGTGCTGTTGTCGAGGCGACCTAAATAGGCCCGACAACACTTATTCGGTTGGCGCAGGTACGAGCGTATCTTTGAACAGTTACTTGGCATGGCAAAATTGTGGCTTGCGGCTGTTTTACCTGGCTCGGCTGTAAAGATGACCTTCGAACAGCCACCTAGGAACACCGAAGTGTCTAACAGCTACTTCAACTAATCGGCGATTTAGCTAATCGGATATCTGCAAATCAACGAAATTATACTTTAGGGTACTTCGGTATTTTCGCAGGTGATGATGACGATGGCAAGGATAACACACTGCGCCAGTAGCTTCTCCTGCTAGCCTGGCATCGAGGTCACCGTCGAACATCTATCTAGGACAAAGAAGTCGCGCTTCATGGTTGCGTCGGCGTTCCCACGTACGAAGAAGACGGCTCTGAGACGATTATTATCCGAAGAATCAAACTACGTGTCTAGTAGCATCTCCGACTATAGCCTAACAATGGGAACACCTTTGCATAGTTTGCAGTATATGGGACGAAGAAATCGTACTTCGCGATTGCTGCACGGTGCCTCTAACACGATGAAGCCTCCACGATGCTGATAAAAAGCGACCAACCTTTGCCTCGGTATCTTCTTCGACTGGTTTCCCAACCCAGATATCTCGGACCGGCGGCGTCCAGCGACGCCTTCGCTATCGATTCAAGCTGAACTATTACGAAGAGATCTTCTGAAACGCTGCCCGACGAATCGTCGACCAAATTTGGTCCAGATATGAAGTCGTCGCCGAACCGGACAGACCGAACAACGCCGGAGAATTCCGAGATCAGGCTGTAACTCCGTAAAGGTAACGAATTGTTGTCGGCACGAAGTCGCGGTCGCTCGTCCTCGCCCGCTAACAATGAGGAATGCGCTTTGGTTCACTTGGCGGACGGGTTGATGCACTGTTACGAAGATTAACGCTCTCGCCGCGGTCAGCGAGAAGAACCGCGGATTTCTTCCGGCGAGAGGCGGCCGCGCCGGCAGGGTTGCGGCCTCTGAAGAAACCGGAGTTTCCAGGAACGATCCTTGATCCTTCCCTCCGGGGAACGCGCCAGCAGCCCGTTCAATCGGATCGCGCAATTATTTCCATAAAGGGATGGATGGCACGGCGATCCGTCCGGCCCGTTCGATCCGTAATAAATGAAACGGTCTCGGAACGAACGTCCGGGTATCGCTTTACCGAAGCTCCGGGTCCCGTGCTGCGGGACGGGATTACGCGTTTCGGAGAAATGCTTATCTGGAAATGCCGAAAAACGAAATCAGACGCGTCGAACACGATCCCGCTCCCGGTGTTACGTGGCACGTCGGATGCCTGGGATTTCCACGACATATGTGGACCACGAGATATTTTCTCGACTTCCTCCCGAACGATTTTCCGCAGGCAGTTCGCGCGACAGTTGGGACTCGGTTTTAAACGTCGTCTCGGGTTTTACTACACCGAAAACGATTTTGAAAAAGATCTTCGAACGAAACGCTTCGCAGCTTGTTCTTCGCAGCGACTCTAATTGCGTGGCAGATTTTTATGGAAAACGGAAGTTATCTGCATCGATTGCGAGGCACAGGCATTTATCTTCTTTAATCGGTTGAAAATATTGCAACGGGATCTTCAAATTCGTTAAATAATTCTAGCGTTTCGCATGCGATCGATTCAGTTTTGAATAAGTGTCAGTATTAGTATAATGAGTATTATCAGTTTTAAATGAGTCTCAGTATAAGTATAATGAGTATTATCAGTTTTATATATATATATATATATATATATATATATATAAATGAGTCTCAGTGTAAGTATAATGAGTATTATCAGTTTTATATAAATGAGTCTCAGTATAAGTATAATGAGTATTATCAGTTTTATATATATAAATGGGTCTCACAGTATAAGTATAATGAGTATTGTCAGTTTTAAATGAGTCTTAGTATAAGTATAATGAATAATATCAGTTTTATAAATGAGTCTCAGTATAAATATAATGAGTATTATTAGTTTTAAATGAGTCTCAATATAAGTATAATGAATAATATTAGTTTTAAATGAGTCTCAGTATAAGTATAATGAGTATTATCAGTTTTATATATATATAAATGAGTCTCAGTATAAGTACAAAAAAAATGTGTAATATCAGTTTTAAATGAGTCTCAGGCTCAGTATAAATGCGTTGAATCCTCGGCCTGCTTCATCGCCATCGCCAAATCAATGAAAAGCAATTAGAAATCGATCGGAGCTCGCTGATTAATCTTTTTTTGACAGCACAAAACGAACGCATTGTGCTCTATGGTACTAATTGCAACAACAATAGCGTAGCTAGCCCATAAAACACTCAATCTATAACAAATAAACAATAACACCGGATAGACTAGACACCGGATTTGATGCATTCACGACAAAAGTTAATTAAGTGAAACCCAAAACCGTAGCGAGATTAGACGAATTTATGGATATTATTGCATTATTCTTCAACCTGTTGCAATCGTTAAGAGAACAAAGATATTTTCACGTAATTTACGTGGTCTTCCAATTAACACAGGCTCGCACAGGCGATTCTTATTTTACGCGAAGTACCGAAGCCTAGTAATCAGCATGCAAATTAATCCGCGCAGAGCTTATCGGTCGTTATCCGCTGTCCAATGATTTCGCGTGCGATGAGAGAGATTTCACGCGAGCCTCAATGCGAACGGATTAATGAACGAAGGAACCCGCGCGGCGCGGCGAGAATGCAGAGCGGGACGGGATGCACGTGCGAATTTCTTGCACCGTCCATTGTCCTCGGTCGTTACGCCTGCAGGAAAAGTAGTTTCGCGTGCGGCTGGATCCCTGACCTTTACGTCACAACCGGTCTCTCTGAATTCCAGCCGGCCGAGCTCTTCGATGTTCCACGGAGTTTTCAAGGTCCTGCGGGGGACCGTCGCTTCCGGTATTTCGTTCCGCGAACTACACCGCTTCCGGAGCCCTCTCGTTCGCCGCCACTTTTTTATTAGACGCCGCTCCGTTTCTAATAAAAGCGATCCGCACGGCTTCCGTTCGCACCCGTGGGTACGTTTCCACGATAACGAGACGCTTAATCAGGACCTC